GCCCAAGAGATGCATCATATCAGAAGGAATAGCTGTGATGTGGCCACAGGCCATGTTTCTTCTTAGGCAAAAAACCAGTAGTTTTTTTTGGTAAATGTTATGGGTAAACCTTTATAGAGAAGTTCATTTTTCATTCACCTTGGTGATGTGGTAATAAAGAACATTTTAATCAGAGTACCAGGTTGGAAGGGGACCCCAGGGATCACCTGGTCCAACCTTTCCTGGCAAAAGCACGGTCTAGAGAATATGGCCCAGCACCTGTTCAGCTGAATCTCAGAAGTGTTTAGCACTAGGAATCCACTACTTCCCTGAGGAGATCATTTTAGTAGCTGATTATTCTCATTGTGAAAAATGCTTTTCTTGTGTACAAGCAGAATCTCCCCATGAATAATTTATTTTGTCCAGAGTGATGCAGGTACTGGGCAATACTACAGCTGGAACTTGAGGAGGTATTTTTCACCTTTTTTCAGTATTCTCACAAGTAGAGGACACTAATATACTGTATGCTATGGATTCAAACTTAATGCTATAATTTAAAATAGTTACTTTTTCTTCACCAGACCATCCAAATGTCTTCACCATGCCTGAAGCAGATATGAAGAGAATTTTGTGGGTGTTATCACTTCCCATTATCACACTACTCTATTTGACTATACCAGATTGCAGAAGACAGTTTTGGAGGAACTGGTTCATGGTGACATTTTTAATTTCAGCAGCATGGATTTCTGCAATAACTTATGTTCTCGTATGGATGATAACAATAGCAGGTAGGTACCCAAAGTGCTCCTGCTATACAGCATCAACCAACCAAGAATCACTGAAAAAACAGTTTTCTCCCTGTGAAGTTTCCCTTTCCACAACCAACAGTCAGTTTAGCAACTCAGACTTTGCTGTAAAAAAACACAACAAGGAAAACCCAACAGAAACTTATGTTTGACTGCTTAGTTGGCCACCCTCTTCCATCTAATGATGGAACACTTTCGAGTTCAGCTGCTTCACACTACTTACCATCACAGGAAGGAGGATTTGTTTCTGTAGCTACAAAAAACCAGCCTATATTTAAAAAGAGTTTCATTAAACTGCTCATTAAGGGAAACAATTAGATACACAGCAATAAACTTGTCATGCTGAAGGCCGACAAACACAAAATCCACAAAGACTGGAATTAGAGGTTAAGGTTTTTGGAAAAGACATGTTATTTCTGCACCTGTATTTTTTATGAGTGCTATAGTAAGAGATTTGGCATTAAATTAACTGCCAAAAAACGTCCCAAATTTTTGTACTATATTATTTCAACTATAGCATCATGTGTTTATTAACTATTCTTGGTGTGTGTATGTAGATCTCTTAAATCTCCATCATCATAAACTGAAGCAGTGAAAGGATTGTGTTTAAGTGAGGAAAGGGTTATGAACTTGTGTGTGAAACATTCTACTAAATGCTTTAAGGTACCTTGAGGTATTAAAGTACCTTAAGGTATTAAAGGTCTCCTCATTTCACTATTTCTCCAGTCAGCTTTAAAGAAATCAAGTTTTTAATTTTAAGAACAAGCAGAAAACAAAACTCTAAACCAGAAAGAAATTTTACAAAGCTTGCCATTTCCACCTTATAGTTCACTAATCCTACTCAAGCATTCTGCTAGCTCAGATATGAATAACTCCTTGTTCAGTGCAGAAACAGACCTACACGTTTGGTAAACCTCTGAGAAATAACTAGTAAATGGCTGGATACAACAATCACCATGTTCACCCCTTGGTCAAATAATTTTCCAGTTGTTATCCAAAGAGCAAGTTCACTGTCTGGATGCTAGAAGCCTTTGAAACAGGATTCAAGTCAAAGTTATTGCTGTTCTACAAGACAAAGCATTAATTCATATGAAAGCAGGTACAGTGGAGATTCAGTAGTGTATTAGTTCACCTTCAACAGTCATCACAGGCAGTACTGGGGTCTTTGGCCCACTATTTCTAGGTAAAATATGTTCTACTTACATGTTAAAACACTAAAAGTTACACACACACTATATTCAAGTCCAGATTCTTTCATGAAGGTTGACTCAAAGATTCTATCGTTGCATAATCAGCCTATCAGAGTTGTCACAAAGGTGTCACAGCTGGGGACTAAACTTAGATGGTCAAGAACAAACCTACCTCAGTACACCTTTCTGTTGCTAGCAAAGAAAATCTGACTACTTATAGCAAGACATTGCTACTGATACACAAAATTAACTAAAGGCTAGAAAAATAATACTATTCTATCTTTATGGTCAGTTGCCAGAAAAAAACCAACAATCCTACACATTAAATAGAAGATAAATCTATCTAATAAAAAGAAAAATTAGATTCTCCTGAGTTTATATTCTGTCTTATAACCTTCAGAGGGCTAAAAACAACTGTTGGGTACAGAAGGCTGGTTCATTCATACTTCACCTTGGTTTGACCCATTATTTTCCAGCCTGGATGGTTTATAAAAGTTGATTTTGTTGGTCGCTCATCCTACAAATCTGTCAGGAGTGATGGAAGGATAAAGAGAGTACAAATTCTGCAACAGGATCATGTTAGTCCCTCTGAACCAACAAACAGTTTCAAACATAAATTTACTGGGCTGCTCTAGACTAAGCTGGTAAGTAATAAACAAGCATTGCTGACCTAGCTTAGAGCACTGCCTCTTATTTTATTAAAATTGCTCTTATTAGAGTTGAAATACTGCAAGTTAAGAATTCAGATTTCAACTGATAAAAAATATTAACAAAAAAGTTTAAGAAAAACTAATTACTTAATAGCTTGAACACAGGTGTCAAACACTTCAGCATATTGACCCTTCTGAATGGTACAACTGCTAAAATGGTTTTGATGAATCCCTGTATTTTAAGTGAAAAATTAATAGAGTCACAGGACATGTGGGGCTAAGAAAAATACACAGTGGGGGAAAAATAAGCTGCCCTTTTAGTAACAGTTTAAAACTTTTCTTCATTTAAACAAGTATTTACCTAACAGAACTCACACTTCCAAAGGGTTACTTGTACTTACAAGTCATATAAAAATTCTGCATTTTGATTCTTCCAAATCTAAGCACTTTCTAATTGGAGTGAAATGGTAAACATGTAGTTGAGACAGTTTTCTCCTAATATCTTAATGGCCCTCCTACCCAAGAAAATTCATGTGCTTCTCCCCTTCCCCTTTAGAGAGGGTGATTATAAGAGTTATTGCTTCATAAGTCTTTTGAACGCTAATGAGGAGACGCCCAAAACTGTAAGAGAGACTATATTTTCTAAAGTTGAAAGTAAAAAAAAAAAAAGAAAAAAAAAGTAGTTGTTAGATATTTAAACATCTACTTTATCTGCAAGAAAAAATTCATAACTGCTATTTTCTTGACCACTGGAGACATTCCACACAGGTCTTTGAGAACCTTAAGATGGTTACTATACTGCAGTTCCTTTTTTATTTGATCGAAGAACAAGGACAGGATGGTATTTCTTTGTTGTTACTCTTGTTTTTAACTGCTTTGTGATTTAGTCACTTCATATGTAGTCAAGTTAGCTGACACATTCCATTTGAAATTACTGTATAATTACTAATTCTTTCTTTAGCAAACATAGTGCAGAGCACTTTCTTTGGATGAAACCAAACTAAAAACATACTTGCATTTTCTACCGTTATTTATCAACTGCAGGTGAAACACTGGGAATTCCAGAGTCAGTAATGGGTCTCACATTACTAGCAGCAGGAACAAGTGTACCAGATACAGTTGCAAGTGTGCTGGTCGCTCGAAAAGGTAAAGATTTTAGTATTCTGTCTCATGCCAATGGATGTGTTTTTAAGAGGTATGAAGAAAAAAAAAAGAATTCTAGTCAACATTTCCAGGAATTCAAGGAGTAACTTCAAAATCTGTGCTCCAGATTCTAGAGCTTAAGTTTACTAAAAATAAATAAATAGCTTACCTGAAAAAGCTGTGGCTCAGACATTTCAAAACTTCTCAGAGTATCTCAGAGAAGTATTCTAGATTGATTTATTTGTTGTTGATCAAGTATTACAGTTTTACTGCAGAACACAACTGTAGGTCTTGGTATTTTAAACTTAACTGGACCTTAGCATGTCTAGCTTATTTTAAGTGCAACTGTGCAGATGCTGGTGATTTAGGGAGATATTTTTATGCTTGTGGTACCCAAAACCGTGTTCTGTAGAATCATGACTACAGTTCCTTCGATGCAAAATCTGGAAAGGGTGCTCTGTGAGAAACTGAGGGCTGACAGTCTGTTCCTCCAAAACAGTTTGGCAATTTCGTCCAATACAATTAAGCAAACTTATCTACCTTTCTTCTTTTACAGGAAATGGAGATATGGCTATGTCTAACATTGTAGGATCCAACGTATTTGATATGCTCTGTTTGGGAATACCCTGGTTTATAAAAACTGCCTTCATAAATACATCAGGACCCATAGAAGTGAACAGCAGTGGTCTGACATACACAGCCATTTCCCTTATCTGTTCTGTTGTTTTTATTTTTCTGGCAGTTCACCTGAATGGCTGGAAAATAGATAAAAAATTGGGAACCATTTGTCTTGTACTGTACTTAGTATTTACTGTACTAGCAATTTTATACGAACTTGGCATCATAGGAAACAATCCTACAAGGGTCTGTGGTAACTAGTTTTAATCAGTGATTATACTGATGAAAAAAATTAAAGCAGGAGGAAAAGATCAGTTTCTTCATTTAGTCAAAATAAAATAAAATAAAAAAAACAACTCCAAACTCCCACTGGGCTCTAAGTCTTATATACAGAACTAAGTCATGTCATCAAAGTAATATTAAGAACAAAAACATCACAGCTTAACTGGAGCCCTTTCTTTTAGAGTCAGGAATTACAGTATGACTACAACACACATATAAAACCAAAATTCTGAAAAATAAAAAGACATCTACTTTTTACATTACAATGTTGATACACACTGGAGGGCAAAAATAAAAACCAGAAAACACTAAATAAATCCCACTATGCAGTCTTGAGATAAACAGAGAAAATGGCTTATTTTATTAAAAACAGTATAACCATTCATTTAAACTGAATGACTAGAGACACTTGGCCTAATTTTCCAAAGGCACTGAGCATCCAAACCTTCCACGGTCAACAGGGACCTGCAGGTGCTCAGTGCCTCTAAAAAAACAACAAAAATCAGGCAAATTGTCTTTAAAAACCAAACATAGTAAGATTCAGTTAACAAGTATCACAGTATATTAAACACTATACTGTTAAAGGCTGGTGGGATTTAAAAGTTCCTTTTTACATCTTTTGTAAGCATACAATGTTACTAAAAATGACTTGCTAAGATAGAGAAGCTAAACAAGACATAGGAATGTTCCTGAACACACAGTTTTAAATTATGCATTGCGATCCAAGCGGACATCAATTTCTCTGCCACTGATTTTTATGCCGTTCATTATCCTACAGGCCTTTTCAGCAGATTCTGGTGAGTCAAATCTGACTGTTCCACAGCCCTTTGATTTTCCATTCTCCATTTTTATTTCTGCAAACATTACATGACCTGAATAAATAAGTTAAACAGCAGTTATTTCAAGTCCTCAGTGCAGTAACAACTTAAGAGAACTCAGAAGTGATAAAAAAACTAAGTATAATCTAGGGGAACATACAAAATTGGCACTTCCAGACTGATGGTACATTCACTCGTTCAGGCAAGGGGACATGGGACAAAACAGCAGTGAAGAATCCAAATTATGATCCACTATTTCAAATCTTCACACCAGCATTAAGATGAAGTATAACTATGCCTGTATTTGACCTCAAGTTTGAAACAAAGAGCCCTGTAAGACTCAGAGAAAGGTCTGTGTTTCATTTACAGACACTGACAGAAGGGTGAGTATTGACAGGCATTAACTGAACTGCAGATTAGTCCAGTCCACTGTGTTCATCACAAAAACATATCAAGCAATAGCAACAATCAAACAGTTTTGTTAAGAAGCTGCAGAGCAAAATTAATGTCTTTAAAATGATACAGTTACTGGGTTAGGAGTGGTGGATAAGTAACATGCACTATTCAATTCTCGCCAAGTTTTCTTGAGGTTGGACACCCAACTCACAAGGCATTATTTTTATGAAGATGTCTTGGTACCTCTAAGAATGTTCAGTTCCCTGGAGCTAATGAGTTTCTGCTTATGGTGTGTTATAGCACATCCCTCCTGAGCCCCAGAATGCCACTAGGAACAAAAAACTTTTCCCTAAAATATATGACTTTATTTTTAAGTATCATATAAGACTGGCCTTTCACTGAAAGAAACTGAACATGGGGAGACAGTCTTTGTATTTCCTTATGACACTATACGAATACAATCTGTTGCTTATAATTCTTAAAAGCAACTGAACGTAATTACTACATCTGTTAGCTGAAAAAGAGATGATTAAAAAAACCAAATTCTGAACAATCTGAAAGTTGCCAGGCATTTAAGACTTAAAAAAAGAAAGAACTTGTTGCACTATATCCTCCAGCTACAAAAATAACATCAACACCTTATAATTTTTCATAGTTGAACTGTGAGTTCCATTAATATCAAATCTGCAAACAGCTGTATAACTGTCTTAGACATCAGCAGTGTTTTAGATTATTTGTCTTTTCTGTCTCTCCAAAATAAAAGTCATCCTGTAATTCAGTTAAAGCTTTCTGTTCTGAAAGTGTGTTTTCAAAACACATCATGTATTTTTATACCCAAGCTTTATTTTTTGTTTACTTCTGTGAAAAGACAAACTTTTCTGAATTACATTAAAAAAATTACAGAATATTTGTAGCAATCCTTTATCTTATATCAAAAGGCCCCTTATTTCTTAAGATAAAGGGGAACATTACAGCCTTCAAAGATGCTAATCAGGATCATCTATATGCCTAAAAAACCCAATCTGCCACTTTGGCAAAATTAGTATCTCTGATTTGATGCAGCACCATTTCTTGAAGTAATGCATGACCTGTACAGCCATGCCTAAAAATTATTTATATAACTCAAGAAAGCTGGGTGAAGTAAGAAAGACTAAGCTCACCAAACTGTCCTTCAGAGTAAGGCAACAGTTTTGTCTTCCTGTCCTTATCTAATAAACACCACATAAAACATGAAGCTGATGGAGCTGAGCAGGGGCAAGATTCATATACATACCACACTGACTGAATTTCTCCTTTAGCTTCTGCCAGGTCAAGTCAAAAGGAAGCTAGAATGAAAACACATTATTGATAACAAAATATTACAAAGAGAAAAAGAGCATGGAATCAAATATACACACAAAATAAGCTTGTGGTTTCTACAGATTCAATTGCTTACATTTCTCACAAATATCTGGTTGCCTTTAGAGCCCAATCTCTCTCTTATGCCACTTCCCATGGGGCCAGGCACAAACCCTCGATCGATATCGATGTTCCTGTCCAGGCCTCCACCCATGGCTGGTCCCATTCGATCGAATCCAGAGCTCATCCGATCCATCCCCATTCCTCCAGCCATACTGTTCATACCACCCATTCCACCACCTACACAGAGAAAGAAATGGAGGATAAAATAAACATCTCCTTTCAGTAATAAACACAAAAGTATTTTGTATGAAAATAAAATAAAATTCTTGCATTAGGAGAAAAATAACTTTATTAGAACTGCTGTAATATAAACCATCGCTTTCATACATGCACAGTGATTTATCCAGTAGCATGGCTAAGATTTTAGGACAAACCATTACAAGACACAAAGTGTCAGTTCTAAAATAAAAGACCAAACTGCATCAAGCTGTTAGTCATACCACGTAATGTAGCAAAATGTTGAATACAAGTATTCAGATTCAAAGGCTGTCCTGTTTTATTAATAAAAATGTTACACCCTGTACCAAAAAGATCAAGTAAATAACTGTGGCCATGGTAAGATACAGATAATTTGACCAAATACACTATTGTTTATTTGGCTTCCTGTATTTACATTGAGCTTTACTTAATGCAGCAATATCCAAACTTAATGACAAAATCTTCCACAGAAGGCATTGTTTTGCAGAGAACAGAAGTTACTGCCAAGCACTGCAAAGAGCATGGACTTCTCTATGATACATCCAATGAAATATATTAATGTATATTATATAAAAAGAACTAAGAGCAATGGCATTCAGATATTATTTCTGGATTGCTAATTAAATTTAATGTACAGCAAAACTATCAAGATCACTCAGGAGGGACATTCTTTTTAAGCCTTATGCCTTTCAAGATTGGCACTAGCAAAATTTTAGTTTCTCATCTGTTCTAGCCTGAGGAACTCCGACATTTGCTGCAATACAATCTCAGTACTGGAGCTTTGCACAAAGTTAAACTGAGTAATAATCTGAAATTCAAGCCTGATTTTTTATTTCAATGATGACTGATTACTGAGGTTCAGCTTCATGAAGTTTACACAAATAAATGTGCCCATCTCTCTTTTTTCTAGAACACAATTTTACTTTAATCACCTTTCCCTCCAAACTAGAAGTTAAAACCATTTCAAAACTAAGATAAGAGAAAGACTGTATTACCAAGCTTTCCTCTGAACTTTTACCTCAACAAAAGAGCTTTGAGAACTATTAGACTTGCAGTCACATGCAACAGAACTCTACTTCTTCCATAGACAGTGAGACACTACCCTACAAGGAAATCCTCTGATACAATTACATGTACACCACATCATTACATTGCCTATGCATTTATGTTCTATTGAAACAAGTTAACCTACTCATTCCAGATCTTACTGGGCCCATGCTAGGTGCTCCCATTCCTCCTGCAAAAACACCAATCATTGCACCACCTAAACAGAGAAAAACAATGAAGTGACATACACTGAAACCACCAGTTAGTGACAACAACAAAGCACACGCTGATGAAGTGCACCCATCTCAGTGGTACCTGGCACTACACATCTACAGAGCACTTTAACCTGTGCCTTTAATTCCTCCCTTTCTACTATGGGATTTAAGCTACTCTGATTTCTTTCTAGCTTTTCTCCCCTCTGACAGTCTGCCAGCAGCACAAACATGGTAAAACTAAATGAGCCATTTCCCACATTGGGAAGAACAACCTCAAAACTCAAGGCTTCATCTTATTTGAACTTCACAGTACAAAAATTCAGCAATTCTGCTCCAAATCAAACATCCTCAATTTCACTAATTGATGCCACAGCCCAATCAAAGACACCCTCCTTGGTTTCAAGGTTACTAAAGCCAAATGCCTTCACAGTATTTCCTCTTAAAATACCATTAACCTAAATATTGTACAGGAGTACAGTAGGGCCTTCCCTGATTAAACACGGTCTCTATTAACTATTGCATTTGTGAGTGCTGTAATTTATTTAAGGTTAAGTTGGGAAACTCTAATCTTGATTCTCAGAACACTCTTTATATGGTAGATTGCTGACAGGTTGCTGGGTCTACTGAATGAAAGACTCCCCCACCAGTTTCTCACAGTGCCCATGTTCGTGCATTTCAAAACCAACGTATTACCAGAAGACTCGGAGCCCACTGCTTCCATGAACATTTACAACTGGAATCACTTTGCATTTTCACTCAGGAAACACTGGATGTTTATCCAATGTTGCAAGTAGCCAGATTGAAAGTATACATTCTAAGACATTAATTCCAAGGCATTAAGCCTAGCTCAAAGGACAAGCTTGTTATGTTCTTATCACTTCCACACAATTGTTTTGTGTTTAGTTTTGGGCCTGTCATGACAAGAAGGAGTGTGCCCAAAAAAGGGCAACAAAGCTGGTCAAGGGTCTGCAGCACAAGTCTTGTGCTTGAGGGGCAGCTGAAGGAGCTGGGAGTCTTCAGCCTGGAGAAAAGGAGGCTCAGAGAAGACCTTATTGCTCTCTGTAAGGTTGCAGAGATGTGGGGGTCAGTCTCTTCACCCAAGAAACAAGTAACAGAACAAGAGGAAATGGCCTCAAGTTGCACCAGGGGAGGTTTAGATTGGATATTAGGAAAAATTTCTTCACAAAAAGGTTTGTCAGTCACTGGAACAGGTGGAAGAAGGAAGGAGTGGAATCAGCATCCCTGGAGGTATTTAAAAGACATGTAGGTGTGGCATTTGGAGACCTGGTTTAGTGGTGGACTCAGCAGTGCCGGGTTAAAGGTTGGACTCAAGGACCTTAGAGGTCTGTTCCAGTCTAACGATTGTATGATTCATCCAGGTAACAGCATAGTAACAAAGTGCAAGAAGGCTCTACTGTTAAGCACTTCCAGGCCTCTGAAGATAGAAGAGTAACTCCTTTGAGAGAACCCCACTGTCAGCAAGACATCATCTATAAACAAAACAAAGCTGCCTCAGAAGAGGTAAAGAAATACCATTCTGAGCTGCATGAGCTCAGAAGGCAGGAAGAAAACTGAGGGCACCTAAATTCACCATTCCTATCCAATGCTACCTGATTTGCAGTAAAAACAATGTTCCACCATGCATTTGCAAACAGGCTCTGGGGAGCCTGTTCTGGTGCCTGACCACATTCTGGGTGAAAAACTTTTCCCTAATATCCAACCTAAACCTCCCCTGAGACAGCTTCAGGCTATTCCTTCGGGTCCTGTCACTGGTCACCACAGAGAAGAGATCAGTGCCTGCCCCTCCTCTTCCCCTCACGAGGAAACTGTAACTGTGACAAGGTCTCCCCTCAGCCTCCTCTTCTCCAGCTGAACAGACCTCAGCTGCTCCACCTACAGTTTTCCCTCCAGACCCTTCACCATCCTCACGGCCCTCCTCTGGATGCAATTTTCCACAGAACATTTAAGTTACCATACCCATCCTTCCAAAAGACTCTCCAAAACCACGGTTCAATGCCATCTCACCACGACCAAATTCTCTTTCCATGTTTGCTCCCATTCCACCACGGAACATTTCTACAGAGAACAAGGCAAAAAACCAGGAATATTCTGTTATTAACATCGAAGTTTATGCTCCTACAATACTTGTTTCACAGCTGCTTGTTTAAATAGAAGTGGGTCTAATGCACAAGTCAGAGGCACCCATTAAACATTTAACTCTCATGCAAGTTACTAGGCCTCCACTCAGGCAACTGTTTCCTCTTGACTCATCTATATTACCCATCCCTAAAGGAAGAGCTTTTAATAAACAAATATTAGCAAACTAGTAAGTGTACAGGGACGGTGTTCAACTACCTCCCATTCGGTTGACTCCAAATCCTCCCATGTTGGGCATTCCTTCCATTCCACGAAATCCAGCAAGTCCTGTAAAATAAGGACGAGTGTTTTCTATACAGTATTAAAGAAACACTTAAAGCAAAAAACTTCACTGCACGTACCGCCTCCCATTCTACTCATTCCACCAAATCCTGGACCGTCTATTCCCATACCTTTAAACCAAAAAGACAAACAACATTTAGAAGACAGGCAAGATCCTCATGGATTTTTAAACACTCACAGATAGTTAAAATCTCTAAATCACACTATACAAGGCTTCCTTTATTCAAAGTCTGTAATTCTTCCAAACACAGAAGTGACAATTTTAAACTGTACAACTTAAAAACTAAGAATGTGGATTTACCTCCTGGACCCATGCTCCCCATTCCACCGCCCATGCTCAACTGTGTTGCACTGATGGGTTGTCCACCTGGTCCAAGTCCCATACCAATGCCACCAAGACCACCTTGAAAACAACAAAATAAATATCATCGGAAGAGAGATTTTCTTCTGTATCATACAGAGACTACAGTAAGCAAAAGTACTACTAAACTATGCCAAAAAAGGCACTAAACTGTGCCAAAACATGTATCATCCCATACTAAGTGCAAGTAGTAGAAAACAGTGTGCACTCACGAGGTAACTGGGAGCTTTTGCTGTCTGCAACACGGAAATCTTCATGAGGAACTGATTTGTCATCCTGATAAAAAACAAGGATGTCATGCCACGATCCTTTCAGTGTTTTGGCAGAGACATTATAAGGTAGCAAGAAATGTAAGCAACTCACCATTTTTACATGCATGGGTCTATCAAAGAGGAATTGTCCATTGAACATTGCTGACGAAATGCAAGTCAAGGAGTCTAACTACAGAAGGTAATTTTACTATTTAAGAAGAATTAATGTAATAACTTATTTTATTTCTGTACCATAATTAGACCCTTATCCTTCCTTATCTGATCCTTAGAATGCCCATTCAAAGGCCAGCAGATGCAATACAAGCTGTTAGGTACATGGAAGTCAGTTTAACAACTGTCATACTCCCAGGAACTTTCAGACTTTAGCAGTCAACTTAGTCACTTTACTTTTACAAATGTAATCTGCACAGTATACTCCCTATACACAAGCTACAAGGCAAATAAGCACTATTTGCAAATTATGCTGTCAGAAGCCATTAAAGACTAATCCATATTTGATCAATTGTTTTCCAAACCCAAGGATACATATTGCTTGAACAGCTTCAATTGCTTGTTCAAAGGTAACTGTTCCCATCCCTCGACTCTTGCCATCTTTATCTTCTTTGATGTCGGCACGTTTCACAGTTCCAGCAATGCTGAACACCTCCTTCAGCTTCTTCCAGCCAACTTTAAAGTCAAGCTGACAAACAGAAATACATTAGTGATTTCAGTGCACATCTCTGTTCTGCCATTACACTTGAAGAGATTTCCTGCATTGCTGTTAACTCTTCAGCTTCACAAAATGCTTGATGAATGTAAATAGCCATGATTTTGTAATATACACACACTACATCGAAGTCTAAAAGCAACAATTTATTCTATGTACATGTATTTTACTTTCATTAACATACTAACGTTGAGGAATGGATTCGATCTTGAGAAGAGCAGCTGTACTTCCACAAGCCCTCCTGCAGATACAGTAGTCTTTTGTGCAAATAAAGAACTTACATTGTTATATTTATTGGAACTTCATTAATACTCTAAAGTAACTAGCAAGATAAACTGAAGTGTATATTTAATAAAAAAAATGCAGTTGTAAATAGCAAAAAGATGTATAAAATATTTTTTAATCAACAAATAACTATGCAATAATTTTAAGTGCATGCCAGCCTCAAGAGTTTAATGTATCTTTCCATGTCCAAAATATGAATATATATACAACATTTTCAGTTGAATATAGTAACTGTGAACTAATTTCCAACTTCCTCTTTACATTAAAACCAAACTACGCAGGTATAAGATGTCTTAAAAAGATCAAGCATTAAAGTTATAAAATGCAGTTTTAAACTTACATTAGCAACAAAAATAGTGGACCCGAGCCTGCCTGCCTGCAAGTTACTGATAACTTCAGGAGGAATGTTTGGATTATTGAGAATAGAAGGTGGTAAATTCATTATTCCAGGTGCTGCATCAGGTCCATGTCCTCCTGGAAACTGTCCTCCCCCACGCTGTAATGCCCTGCGAGCATGTTCACCTTCAGGATCCTGAAACATGGGCAAAAATAAAGCCACTTAATGACCAACAACAGGACTGGCAACAAACGAAAAGTACTGTTGAAATTCTACATAAACCCATCAAAATTATCAGCTGATATCCTTGTCCATGTCAGAGGGATCAAAGACTGAATTAGCACGGAGACCTAATTCCCTCACCTCTAGAGGTGGGTCCTTTTAGATGAGGGTTGAGCCATACTGGCAAAGCACTTGCTGAGGAAGCGTGCACTGCCACTTCACATGCTGCACCTACCCCATGGACAAGTAGAAAAGATTTCAAGCTGAAGGACTGTCAGTCTGGCACCTTCCTCCAAGAACTGAACTAATTTAATTAGGTGGTAGATTTGTACTATTTATTAATACCACTATTAAAGTTGTAATAGGATAAGAAGAACCGCATCAGATACTGTGATTCGGTACACTACAACAGAAATGTTGGTATTATTTCACTTTCCAGGCAGCACAAATTCTCTGCTTCCAGCCCCCTTGTTGCACATATGTAGTAGTCTGACAATTAGCTCCTTCTGTGCCATATTTTGAGGCAGGTAAGCAATGTAAACATAGAATTATTTAGGCTGAAAAAGACCTGATGACACTAAGGTAAGAATATGAAGTTAAAGTTGTTTCAAAGAAAAACAGCATTAGATTATTTTGACTTTAGGATTTTTGCCAGTTCACTTGGGATAGCTTCTGCAAGCCAACAGGCACTTCAGCCAATTAAGAAAATTTCATAAAAACTTAAACTGGAAATTACACATTTAAGACTGTCAAAACACTGTATTGTCATCTCAGTAGCTACAGTACCTTCACTATTTCAAATTCAAAACAGCAGCAATAACCATACCTCTTTAATATTCAGGGGTCTTCCACTAAGATCATATTTGTTCATAGTGTCTAATGCTTTCTTAACAAATTCTTCATCTTTGAATTCAACCACACTTAGAGAGAACAAAACATTTAGAGTATTAAAATAAAGTCCAAAATGCCAAAACAAATAGAATGTTTGAAAATCAGTGTGTTTCTACACACTTAGAAAAAGAAACTTACCCACAACCCTACATCCATGAGATTTGTCATCATATGTAAAGAGAAAACAAGCAAACAAGAAGTCAGTCAGCACATATAACAGAGCAATGAAGATTCCAGTTAAAGATCCCAGCTCACTGTTAAATAACTACACAAGTTATTTTCAGCTTCAAAATCCATAATACGTGTTCTTTAGTGGTAGCCAATCTGAATTTCTCCTGCTTTCTCAATATACATACCTTTCAAATGCAGGAGAACACATTGTTTCTTACTCTCTTAGAGTCAAACCAGAATTGGAAAAATGCCACACAGATCCATGTAAGGACAATTGGGGAGAGGAGGTGGGAGGGAAAGGGTGGAAAGAAAATAACCCCAAAACATAACCAAAAACCAATCAAGACACTCATCATGTCATTAAAAGCTGCCCACTGACTAAAGAATTCAAATCTACCTCTATCGAGGATACCAGTACAATGAACAAGGAGTCTGCATACCTCTTCAGTATTACAGAACTGAGAAATTACCTTGTAAGAAAATAACCTGATTGACTGCACCAGAATCCTTCTAATAAAGCAAAGAGTAGAGGATTGCTTTAAGTATAGCAAAGCTGACAGCATGTTTTAGTTTTAACAAGTATTAAAGAAGTAATTTACAACAATTGATACAACCTCAGCTAAGACTCAAACCTGCATTTCTCATGTTCTCACTGCAGGTTCAGAGCTGCTATTGGCCCAACTTTTGACTATTTTTAAGAAGACAGAGGAGCTTTAACAATCTTCACTCCTAGTGCCTCATTGCAGGCACTCTGCTGGCTACCAACCATCTCCATCCATTTAGTTTTAGGAAAGCAAATACATTAATCCAGTGTTTAAAGTACCAACCCTGCAGAGCTGTCAAATCAGGCACTTCACACAGTATATTCTTAGCTAACATTTTATACTCGTTGGCCCCGAGAATACTGCACTAACAAAATTTAAATAAAATTAGTGGTTTGTTGAACGTCCTTTATATGAAACAATTTGTACCAAAACAAAGGTGTTGGCTAAAAAGAATTAAGTAAATGCCATTTGTTAACATTTACAGAAGTACTTTGCCCTTTACAGCCAGCTAGTGTGAGTTGCATGGAAGTGTCAGACTACTTCTAATACAGAATCCTCAAGGCTACCTTAATGAAAATCAGTGTAAAAATGAAACTTACTTTCCAATAACTGGTACAGGTATTATACAAAAATAAAACTGCTGAGGAACTTTTAAACCTCTAGCAGATTGTTGCCCACGGCACTTACCCTTGATTTTCCTTCAGCATCCTTAAACAGCTCCACGTATGTAACCTCACCAACTACATAAGACATACAAAGGGAAAATACCAAGAGACAATGCATTTAAACACCAGTATCTTTCTTTACTGTGCCCCTGTGCACAAGTCTACAGAGAATCACCTATTATTCACCAACAATCAAAACCAGACCAACATACCTCCTGTCAATGGCTATGTAATTTAGCTAATTTTCAGAAATATGCAGCAGCCACATTCTCAAAAGCTAAAAACAAACAACTATATTTAACCTAATTCATACTACAGATCATATTTTGGCCAGTATGATATAGTTGGTGAACAAATTCAGATATAGAGTCCCTTAACCTAACAAATGAAACGTCAACGTTCACTGGAAAAGTGTTACATTTATCATCCTACTCACAACACCTGTTTTAAGGTGACTTTCTACCTGAATATCTTCAATCATAAGTTTGCCTTCAATAATAACCAAATTTACACATCAAATATTTCACAGCAAGCGACTCACTTTCTAAAGTAGGAAGTTTCAGTGAATAAACCAATCAAATAGTCACGTCACCTTACAACAGATAAACCAGCAGTTACAGAAGGGGTACTGGCATTTTTCACAGCCTAAAAGCCAAGTGTGCTTTGCATTACTTTTGAAGAATCAATTTTTCAAGGAAAACACAGAACTAACTTTTTACAAAATCCGTATATTATCATTATTTTACCCCAAACTTAAAACAAAATTTTGGGGGCAGTAAGATTTCTCTATCAGAACTGCAACAATAGTAACAAGCTTTTAATACAAATCTCCAGACAAACAGTCATGGCAGTAGTGACAATGCAGACAAAGTTAATGCCACAGCCAGATTCCACCAAAGAAATACAAAACAACTTTTGAAAGACATCCCTTATTATTCATGTTAACACACTAAATGTGTTGCTTAAATACAATAACCCTTGAAGAAAAAAAGAAAAACTACAAAACTACAACTAGACGAAACACAATCTCTTTAGGAAGTCATGAGGTCATGCATATGCTCTCTACTGTCACACCAGAATGGCAGAAGGTTGTGAGCACTTCATTTACCCATCCTACCCTGCAATGCAATTGTCTCGGATGAAAGAGGGGGAAGGGAGATAGATGTACCGAGTAAAGGCCAAAACAAAAAAAGGCAAATCAAATCTGTGTGGCTCAAAGGACACATACACTGCATTTGAGTCCTATCCCTTTCTATGTGAAGTGTATTATAAGGAATAAGTTACCTTTCTCTCTCATAAGATCTTTAATAGCTTGCCATTTCATGTCATACGGGATGTTGCTAATAAAAACTCTGTTACGATTAACGGCCTTCTTGTCTCCAGAGCCTGCGTTCTTCTCCTTGGAATAGGGATGGAATCTATTCTTGTTTCCAAGAGAAGGGATTGCCTTCGCTTTTGCCACGTACTTCTCTTTCACAGGTGCTTTCCCCTCTTTTGCTGTCTCATCATTTTCCCTACATTTAAAAAAAACAAACAAAAAATTCAAACAAAACCACTATTAGTCTTGTGTTGGATCATTAGACCATCATAGCTCCTATATATATAGATGTGTATATATATGTGTGTGTGTGTGTGTGTGTGTATCTACCTATCTCTATATATCCATACATATCTATATATCTGCCTATCTCCTATGCTATTATAACTTCCAGGATGTCAAATGTTGCTTTTCAAGTCAGAAAAAAATAAATTCACATTACAAGTGTAATTCCAAAATACATGGTTTTATCTAGAACAAAAAAATAACATTACAATATCAAGTAAAGAAAGAACATCTTGCTATTTCAGTTCCATTCCATTTCACAGAATCAAAGAATCTGTGAATGGTTTGGGTTGGAAGGTACTTTAAAGATCATCTCGTTCCAACCCCCTGCCATGGGCAGGGACATCTCTCACTGCTCAGAGCCCCATCCAACCTTGAACACTTCCAGGGATGGGGCATCCACAATTTCTCTGGATAACCTGTTCCAGCACATCATGTCTGTCAAGATTCACAAAGACAGTACTATAGACTACTACAAATACCAAAACAGAATGACTCAGTTGAAAAATCAGCTCTTAGCACCCATGCTTTGGTGCTGCCACCATCTTCACATCACATTTAGCCAAGTTACACAATATTCACCCCAAAAGTGAGAGTTGAAATGGTCTAAGTTACAAAGCAGCTCAGTATGCTTTATTCAATGGAATAATAATATATCAAAATCAACTCAATTTGTAAATCAAATTGTATTTTATCTACCACATAAAGAATTTTTATTCACAATTAGTGTCAGACTGATTTCAGACAGAAACTAAAATTCACCTAAGAACAACTATTACTTTTTCAGTCTCACTGCTTAGCACTACTAGAATCTGAAAACTTGCTAAATGCATGGGGAATAGCTGTATTAAGACATGATGTGCACCAAAGATTAATTAAGTTACCAGGTATTATCCACTAGAAACAACAAAATAGACTTCTGGCCTCGGTCTTTCAAAAGTTTACCAATAGCAGCTGCTCTCCTTTTAAATTTTTTTAGTAGAAAATTTGCTGCTTCTCTTTTAAAGCAGCCCAAATCTCAAGTTCAATGAAACAATACACTTTGACCAGAACTGGATTAAATATCAGAACTCTGTGGCACTCTTGACATTGTTACTATCCCGAGTTGATTTAACCTGCTACCAGAGGCTCAAAGTGCCTGAAATGTTACTTTAAATCAGAACTGCTGCACTAAAAGAATCCACTGAATAAAGCCACACAAATGTGACCCACTAAACAGATGCTACTTAGAGATCCACATCACTGTCTACTTAGTTAACTAAGAGAAGCTTAAAAAGCACTTTTACACAAACATTTATTTAAAAAGCTAGCATTATCCACTCCAGTTGGAACAATTAGAAGGTGATGTCCCACAGAACTGACAGAAGTAACTGATTGTGAACCCTCCTTATATTACATCACTGCCTTTACTTTATTTCCCACATTTCAGAAGGCTTAGTTTTTATCTCATTTTGACACCTTGCAAGGTTGCTGGTGGAAAATTAGCCAAAACAAGCATTTCAGTTTTACAACCACAACATATGGTAAGATCACTGATTTGGGATTAACTGAGATGAGTATTTTCAGCTCTCTGCAAAGTTAACCAAACAAGTGGAAATCTTGCACTCAAAAGCACATGCAAGTAGCCTTTCATGTATTATCTACTCAAGCTTGGCCACATTCCAGGGAGGAAGAAATTCAAACACATCCATATTCCTCCCACGACTTTTTCCCCAGTTCTGAAATACTCATACGATATGAACTTCACAGTCCTTGTGTTTACAAGTGGATTAAGAGAAGATTAGCAACTGGGAAATGGCTGGACACTCCTCTGGGCCAAGTATTTGTAAAATTCAAAACGTTTCAAGTCAATGACATGTTATCTGGTTCAAGCATCCTCCAGTTTCCCTCTGCATCATCCCTCCTCCACACCATCCTGCCCCTGTGACAACATAATTCTTGTGTGGCTGGGTAATGAAGTGAAATGGAGGGAACAATGCAGGAACTGGAGAGGGCCGGAGGGAGAGGAGAGGGAAAGAGTAGAGTGTCAGGTTTTCCAGTCAGAGCAGTTCCTTCCAATCCAGTTCCATTTGCAAATGCAAAACTCCTGTCCAATGAAGCTCCAAGCAAAAATCCGAGTTCTTCCTTAAGTTTTAGGATTAGAGCAATGGATTCTCTTTAGCCCTTTAAGCTCTTTCCTGCTTAAAGGATTATGAAACAGCCCCTTGGTGCTCAGTGCAGTGCACAGGAACAGACAGGTCTCCAAATATGGAATCCACAGGCTCTGCAAGACCTGGCTGTACAAATCAGCAGAGAGCAAAGAGGATACAAGTCTGGCATAAACTCCAAAATCTGGGAAACAAGATGACATTTCACTTAGTCTGGGGATCACAGCCAGTCTCCTGAAAATAGAGGATTAATTAAAGAAACGATTCTTCTTGCAAAACTCATCTGCCAAGATCAACACAGGCCAGTGAACAAGCTGGAGGCAGAGATCCCTTTACAGCTCTTACCCTCCTCCTTGAATATTAAAAATAATTTCAATCAAATAATACATTCAAAGTAATGTCACATTAGTCACCTACAGACCACAGAAAAGACAGCCTCAGAATCTCTGAATTGACATTTTCTTGAGGGAAAAACAATAGCAATTTCTAGTCTTCACCTTTTGTATGAGCTACACATTTTATAGATTTAATTAATATTTGCCTTTGAAATCACGAGCAAATTTTCAGTATTTGAAAAAAAAATCTACAATTATTTCTTAAAAAAAAAAAGGTATGTCCTCATCAATTAGCAAGAGCAATTACACCTTTGGAAAAAAAAAAGGTTTTTTTTTCCATAAAGTTTTGGAAACAAAAGACAAGGTTTCCACAAACAAAACTAGCAGCCTAAAAAATAATAATAACAAGATACACCAACAGGAAAGCCCTAAAAGCTGATCTTTTAAAACCAAACTTCTACTTCTCTGCTCACAGGTGTCCACAGTAAGATCAGCTGAGATAGAAATGCAAGAAGTTCACAACATGTGATTCCAAAGCACAGCTTTGTTGTGTGGGAACTTCAGTACAATAAACTTATGGAAGTGTGCATGTTGAGACCAGGATTCCTTTCCAATTTAATGAATGCTAAGCAAACCAGGTTACTGATTTATTTTTTTAAGTAATACATTTCACCTGCCCACTGACACCTTCATCCTTCCTACATGTTTTGGGGAAGACTAGAAACTGCATGTGAAAGAACAAGATTTGTAGCTCTGTCACCAAGAACTCTGCATCACTTTCACACTTCAAGTTGTGATTTCTACTACATGGAACGACCGGGATTTTTCATTTGCTTGCGAGGTTTTGGAGGGAAAGGAAGACATTGCTGACAGGAGGTATACAGAGAAATTAAGTCATTACTTCAACAGCAGCAACCTCAAAAGAGTAATAAAATTTATACACCTGAAAGGAGCAAAAGGGTGACTATCTTCCTGTGGAAATTCAGTTCTAATCTGTGTAGTTTGGAAGCTGAGGGCCAGACTCAGGAGGGAAAAAAGCAAAACCACAACTTTTGTTTTATAGTAATGTGAAATTTATAACTTGTAAACTAAACTAAATTTCACAGGGAGTCAAGTAAAGGCATGAAATATGCCTTTATTCCTCCAGCTTGATATTGAAGTTGATCCCTCATGCATTTTTTAAACACAACAGTATCAGAGCTGGGCTGCTTGGAACATGTCAAAACTTAACAGACCTCAACAGCTTTGATGTACTGCAACAGTAAGTCTACTACAAATCCATTTTCCCTCCAAGGTTTGAATGAGATTAAACGAGATATGGAAATTACAACAATCTGAGGCCAAAACCTAGTTCATGTAAAGAGTGACAACCCTCAAAGCCTAACATCAAGAGCAACCGCTCACAAAAAAAGTTATTCATCGTATTGTTCTAGAGAGCTGGTAGTTCCAGCTCCCTTATACTATGTTCCTTTTACACAAGGATCTGCATACTCCATGTATAAAAATGTTACGATTTACAAGCAAACTTCGTGCACGCATGTGTGTTTTTTGTTTCTAGAAAGTAAATCACTACAGGGCTGCCTTACCACCCTCACGTAAACAAAGAGTAGTTCAACGGCTCCACAGAACACAGAAACGTGACCGGCACCAGAAACGATGCGGACACCCCTGGAGAAGGGTCCCGCAGCGCTGCCCGCCGGGGAGGCCCCACAAGGCCCAGCCCCGGCGGCCGCTGCCCGAGCGCCGCCGCCCCCCCGTGCCCGTGCCCAGCCCGCGGCCTCCCCGCGCTCCCCGGGCCGGGAAGGGCCCCCAGCCCCGGCGGTGCCCCGGCCCCGCGGGGGAGGAGCCCGGAGCACGGGGGGGGTCCGGCTGCCTCCCCCCGCCCGCGCTGCCCCCGCCGCCCGCCCGGCCCTGCCCCGCGCTGCCCTCACACACATTTTGACGCCATTAGCGCTGCCCGCGCCGCTCCCGGGCGCCGCGGCCGCCGCCGCCTCCTCATCCTGCGGCGGCTGTTGCTGCGGCTGCTGCTGCGGCGGCGGCTGTTGCTGCTGCGGCTGCGGGGGCTGCTGCCCGGCCGCCTCCTCGGCCCTGCGCGGCGCGGCCGCCTCGACCCTGTCGCTCTCCGCCATCTCGTGCCGGGCCGCGGCCCCGCGACCGCCGGTTTGAAACGGGCCCCGAGCACCTCGGCCTCGCCGCCGCCACGGCCAGTCTCGCGAGAGCGGCGCGCGCGGCCGGGGGAGGGGAGCGGCCGGGACGCGCGCGCCGAGGCTTTGCGCGTTGCCATGGAGACCCAGCCCCGGCCGCCATGGCCGCCGTGGGGCGGGCGCGTCGCGTCAGGGACCTCCGCTGAGTCACAGAATCACAGACACAATCACTGCGGTCATCGAGTCCACACATTAACACAGCACGGACAAGCACATCGCTAAACCATGTCCCCGAGTGCCACATCTGCACGTCTTTTAAATCCCTTCAAGGATGGTGACTCTGACACTTCCCTGGGCAGCGTGTTCCAGTGCTTGGCAACCTTTCCATGAAGAAATTTTTCCTAATATTCAATCTAAACCCCCCCGGTGCAACTTGAGGCCATTTCCTATCATCCTACCACTTGTTTCTTGAGGAAAGAGACCAACTCTCACCTGGCTCCAACCTCATTTCAGAGAGTTGTAAAGAGGGATAAGGTCCCCCCGGGCTTCCTTTTCTCCAGGCTGAAGACCCCTGTCTCCCTCAGCTGCTCCTCACAAGACTTATGCTCCAGACCCTTGACCAGCTTTATTGCACTTTTTTGGACACACTCCAGCACCTCAATGTCTTTCTTGTCATGATGGGCCCAAAACTGAACACAGGATTCATAGTGTGGTGTCTCCAGTGTGAGCAGAGGGGGATGAGCCTGATATCCAGCCTAAACCTTCCCTGACTCAGCTTCAGGCCGTTCCCCTCCAAACCCTTCACCATCCTCCCTGCCCTCCTTTGGATGCTCTCTCATAGCTTAATAGCTTAATGTCTTTTTCATATTGTGGTGCCAAAACTGCACACAATATTCAAGGTGAGGCCACACCAGTGCAGAGCAGAGTGGGACAGACACCTCGCTCATTCAGTTTTAGTTAGAGCATTGGAAGCTTCTCAATGACAATTTGTTCTATTCTTATAAAAAACAATTTATATATTTATATACTATATTTATATAATTATATCTATTCTATAAAAACCAATTAAATATGAATAGCTGTAATTCTACTATAAAATTTTAAAATCATATAGGTCTGTGCCACACACACAGTACTAAACATTTTGCATTCTCTAGCATTCGTCCTCTAAGACATTCATTTACTTATGAGGTAGAATCTGCAATATATTCCTTTGGCTTCTTCAATTCCAGTTTGTCTCTTGGGGAAAACAATAGGTTTTAAGCAATATTTTTAGAAGAAGTAAAAACATTAATCATTTGGACAATGTTTAATCATTTCACTAACCGTGAGTACAAAAGCTTTTCCAAAGGGTATTTCCAAATAGTATATAAACATCTATTATATAAGGAAAGCCATTCAAACCTCTGCAATGAATTTAGATCAGTGGCTTCTGGTTGCTGACCCACTGACCTGGACTAATGTGGGTTTTGGAAATAAACTTACGAGCTGCTGGCACTTTCTTTTGCCTGTCCTTATGACTGTCACAGCGGGTAACATCTGAGATTTCTGAGAAAGCTCAAAGATACTAAGAAATACCTCAATAAGGTACATCCCAGATGAAGGTAGAGAGGCATGTCCAGGGGTCTGATAAGACATGTAATTCTGTTCACACATTAACCATAATTAAATAAGTATCTTGGTATTTGCGATAACAATCATCACTGAAACAGTTAATGTTTACTTGCTATTGCTGTCATTACATTTTACAGCTCTCACTACTACAGGATGAAGGGCAGTAATTCCCATGTTCAGGTTACTAAACCCTGGTACCAGACTTCTGTTCAACTGTGCTTCTCAAGTGCTTGTGCTTGGAATCCTATACTCCCTAACCCAGTATTATAGCATGGAGCAGCTGACATAATTCCTATGCCAACAGGCCCATGGATGTTAGTAACAGGAAGAATTATTGAGGTTCTTACACACAGTTTGCCTACTTGTTCCAAATAACCTACTGGCTATTTCAGCTGCTACCTCCTCAAGTTTGTGTACCTTTTTGGCCAATGGGTATGCCTGAGATGGAGTTAGTTTTCCCCACAGTAGCCCACGCTGTGCTCTGTATTGGTAGCTGGAAAGGTGTAACAAATCAGTGTTTGCTGGGATACATCATGGCTGTATCTCCAACATTCCCGCCTCACCAGCAGGCTGAGGGTGGGAAAGATTTTGGGAGGGGACATAGCCAGCACAGCTCACCCAAACTAACCAAAGAGATATTCCATACTGTATGACATCTGCTCAGGAAGAAAAGTCAAGAAAAGGGAGGGGGACTAGGGGCCATTCATTATGACATTTTTCCTCTGGAGCAACTGCTGTGTGTACTGAAGCTCTGCTTCCCAGGAAATGGTGGCTGGACATTGCCTGCTGACAGAAAGTAGAGAATAAATCTTCTGTTTTCCTTTGCTTCCACATGTGGCTTTTGCTTTATTCAATTGCCTTTATCTTGATCCATGAGTTTTTTTCCATCTTATTTTCTGTAACCCCATCCTGCTGAGGGGGAGAGTGGTAGAGCGGATTGGTGGGCACAGCCAAGGTCAACCCACCACAGCCCAGCACACCCACAGTAAACTCAGGTGTCACACAATGTGTTTTGCAATAAATATTCAGAACTGTACAATCCATACATATCCAGAGATGAAGAGGTGTTTTGTATCAGAGCTGCACTGGGGCATAGTTTAGCTTGAAGTCTGGAGGAGTGATACCAGCTTTGCCCTGTCCCCCTTGCACCCCAACTCCAATTTACAGCATCCTGTTTAGGTCAGTTGCCTGTGTTAGAATTTTTACGGGAGTCTTGCCTCCTTTTCTACAAGTCTCACACATAATCACTCAGTATTTCTGTCTTCAAAGAATAATAACAAAATTGGGAGAACAATACCACAAAGAGCTGTTAGAGACCTGACAAGGGGTAAACTGGGATTAAAAAGTGGGATTTCTTTGGTCTACACAAGTGTGTTGAAAAATGTTTAAGCTTTTTCCTAGGAAGACTTCTGAATATGAAATGATTGAAATAAAAATAAAATTAAAAAAAACCTACTTAGCATAGTAAGTGAAAAAAAAAGGAAAACCATTGTCTTTCCATGCCTGTATTTGTGCTGAGAAAGTCTCCTTTGTTACACACTATTGATCCCCCCGGGAATATTTTAAAATTATCATTTGATATATGCGCTTTCAACATCTCTTCCACCTTTGTTCATGTCCTTACAGGAGACAGATGAGGTTTCTGAGGAATGTTCCTGTTACAAGGGTATCCCTCATTTAGTACAACACTGCTACAAGTGTTCTTGGTCTGCTGTCCTAACCAATTCCTCTCATCATCCCCTCGTGTAAACAGTGTCTCTCAGTTGTAGGGAGGGTGTATGGCATAATGGCTGTTTATTCTTGGCAAGCAGAGAGTTGACAGCATTGATTCATACATGGAGTTGAGGATAATGGAATATTATTAATGTTCTTGCATATATATGTAAATATAAGCAACTGTAAAGGAACTACTCTTGGAAGTCTCTTGTACAAGTAGTAGTTACAGAGCTAAAATAATTACATGTGTTCTAAGTATCACCATTCTTTTCAAAACAGTGACTCCAGTCTGTTAGTAAATTCAAGTCTCAAGTCCTCAATGACAAAGAACACATTGCTTTCAACTTTCAATGAACAAATATGTATCATCCTTTTAGAAAGGACCATTTTAATTGGTCTGTGGTTTATCTCAGTGTTGGTTTTAATTTTATTTCCAGTTAAGTCAAAAGCAGTTCATCAACACTTTCATCAGGTGGAAGTTTTAAAACTATTCTATGTTCCTGAAAGTCAGTTTGTATGGAACTTCAGAAAATGGGACTTCTGAGCCTCATAGGTCTTAAATCCATATGACTTTTTTTTTTTTTTGTAAATTACTGTTTTCAAGCAGACACTGTTCTCACCTATATGATGCCTGTATGGTAAATATGTCACACATAATTTTTCTTGTTTTGTGGCTCCTAAATGTGCTTAGCATTTTCCAGACCCTGTCCCCTCTCCAAGAAGCCCTGAGTACAGCTGGAGAAGGGTTGCTTTAACAACAGATTCACTTTGTAAATCATTTGACTTTTGTAGCTTATTTAAAGATTCCTTTTTGCACAGACACAAGTAGTTCCAGACCAGTCTGCATTGCCTAAGGATGCAACCAACCTACACTGCTTTATTTTGTGCTAAAAAAAAAAATTAAATTAACCCTACTCTGCAACTCGCACCCTTTTTTGCATACTTACAATGCACCTGGAGTAAAACAATCTTTCCCAAATGCTCTCTTTGCAATTAAACATTATCTTCCTAGTCTGAGAAACAACGTGCGATCAGTCACAGAGGAGACCTGCTCTACTTGATCTGCAGGGGTCTAACTTCTTTGTCCCTGATGGAAGGCTTACATCCTCCAAAGTCTCATAAAATTTTTTTTGGTGTTATGCAACCCTTGCCCGCAGCTTAAGAGTCTAAATCTTAATCACCTGTTTTTTACCCCTAAAAGGCTGCATAACACCAGATTTTTGGTAGCACTTTTACTGGTCCTATATTAAAACAACTCACATTACTCTCTCTTCCCTCAGACATTATTCTAGCTGCTGAAGTTACAAAAGAAAAAAACTAAGCAACCTGCTTGTGCTCTGGTCCTTCCTTCCACATGTCCTTCCTTCCACCCTGTCAGGCTGAGTGCCCCTTACATACCCACCAGCTCCGCTTTTCACAGCAAGGCAGTAAACACCTACCTCCTGCAGATCTAAGAAGAACCCATCCTTCCCTTTGCCCTCTCCCTAGTTGGCCAGGGGCTTGCCCCAATCCCAGTGAAGAAGCTGGAGACACACCTGGGGCCATTTTCCCTCCTCATGGCCGAACTCTCTTGTCCCACCCACACAAGGTGGCACTGTTGATTTTCACTGTATGTATTCCCCCTTCCACCTTTGCCCACACTAACACTGGTTGGACTTCAAAGTGGTGATTTTCAATCTTCAGTTTCTGAATCCCTACACTTTTCCTATTTGAAGAGTGGGCCTACTCAGACATTTAACATGGGGAGACTGCTTTGTAGGACTTGTTTTTCTGCCTCATTCTTGGCAGTCACCAAAGGAGTACCCTACAGACTCACAGGGCTGTAGATTCATTTATGTCTCTGGTAAAGTCAGTACCTAGTAAAAGCACGGCCTTTAGGCAAGCACAAAGAGAGATTCAGATCTTTAAATATTACACAAAAAACCCATGGTAGAACAAATGTTAAATACCCTGAATTAAATTACTTAAGATAATTCCCACTTGCTACTGTGATCAATACGTAAATTAATATATAATCCTCACATACTTCCACTGTGCCCCTCTATTACTGCTTTTATATCCCCTACTTACTATTGCTTTTTGATTATACATATTCTCAAAAACTTGCCTAAATTTGCTTAGGAGGGAAGTTTCAACTTGATCTGTTTTTTCTGTGCACTATATTATTCACTGACTCAGCCCATTTAAAATTTCTAGCAACTGAAGGCAGAGTTTGCTTGGGAAGGAACATTCAAAGAGCTCTTTAAAGCTAAATTGAAAAGCAAGTTACAGTGGAGTTAGTTATCCCTCAAAGGAGTTATATTTTCTTAACACCTACACCACTCAAGTGATCCTTAAACATCAAAAGTATTAACTGGCTAACAGCTCTAAGAGTTCCTTATTGCTTCTCACTCATTGGCACCCACTTGCCCAACCTTAAATTAGGCCAGTTGAATTTGCAAGATCAAAGTAACAAATTACCAGATGATTATAAAATCTCTATGTCTGATCCAGGGCTCTCCTTTGAGGAAATACAACATTCCCTAAACAAGGATCAAATTAACAGCAAATATGATTGAAGTCAGATGGAAGTGATAGTTATTGTTCTGGTGAATACAAAAAAGATGGAGCCTGATAAAGAAATGGAAAATGAAGAGTAGTGAACACTCCCTTTGTCTATGTACCTGGTATGGGTCACGTACACTGAACAGAAAAACAGTGCTACTTTGCTGACAACTGGTAGCTGAAGAGGGAGACTCATTCCCTGGTGCTGGCTGCCAGTTTCTTTTCCAGTTTTATTTCCATGAAAAGTGGATCTCCAATACATAAAACCAAAAGAAAAATCTTTAAAATAGAACATGAGTATCAGACTCCTAGAAATAATTACATGATTTCAGCAGCCTCTGCCACGTCATAGTACAAGAGAGGAAATTATTTCAGTGTTAAAAAAACCTCAACGTTTAATCCTACAAGAATAACAAAACAAAAGGATATCACACCTATAAGGAGTAAGATCCCACGAGTAAACTTTTCCCAGGAAAAACAGTAGTGAAAGGCCCAGCGTCAACGCCCAAATTCCGACAGAAGAGACAAGACACATCCACTCAAAATTATTTGTTTCTACTGTCAATATTGTCCCTCCTTCCCAGAGAGAGCAGACATATTCGTCCTGGCTACTCCCAAGACCTACTTCCAGTAAAGTTCTCCAAGTATAGCAATGCTCAACAATTATTGGAAAAGCCTGGATTTATGTTACTCTCCCTTAACAGTTGCGCCAGGTTGAAGGGGGTACCGTGAAATTCTCAGACCTTGTGTTTGATACTCCCAAAATCCCAAACCATAGCTGTTTCCACCTAGTGAGACCTTCATGAGGCCCTCAAGTAGATCAGGGACAGGGCTAAAAAAGAAAACTAGAGCTCCTTAGGAACAGTAGAGGCTCTTTATATACATAATCTGAAAGCACATTCTTATACTATTTAAAACTATCTATTTATAAAGTCTTCATGGATCTTCAAATATGAGAGGCACTTCAAAAATTAGCTTGACTTACAATTTCAGCAACAGAGATTATTTACCACGTGACTGGTGCTACAACATTAGAAGATCAAACTAATAACCATTAGCAAGTACATAGTTACCCATCAGTTTAACCATTAGTTCTACTAGCAGGAGAAATCTGTATTTTCACTCTATCCAATGCTTAGAAGTCCACTGCTGGTACGACAGAGGAATCAGGCAGTAAAATGGCAGGCAACACAAACTGCTTTTTTACCAGATCGTATCAGGAAGAAGGTTTAACCTATCCTAGAGTTATTGCATGTAGTGAGAAACATGAGGAGTTTTAAAATTATTTTCTGCACAACAATTCTGCTAGCAGGTCTGCAGTAGTCTCAGAAGTCTCATGATGTATATCAGAGTGATACAGTCCTGTTCCACTGACCTACGTGCATCCCTGCAGGATGGTGTGCAAAAATGGAATCACTATCCTTTAAAACAGATTTGTCATTTATTAATGCAATAAATACAGATCCAGCTTTGGGAAAATGAATCTTCTTTCCTAATCCACCTTAAACACCTTCTGTTGTGGCAAATGGAAGCCTCTCTAATATACAACCACCATCAACTAAACGCAGCTAATGAAAGGATATAAAGCGAGGCTTAGGCTTTAATCGTTATTACTATTGGAGCTATTGGGAGGACCCGAGTCCACTCTGCGGGCGCAGCCCTAAGAGGCTTTCAGGTCCGCACGCCCCGCTCCGATCAGTGTGTCAGCCCCTGCCCGCAGTTCCAGGGCAGCAGAGCGGCCCCGCCGCACCCAGCGCGGCTCCACAGGTCCCGCTCCGCGCCGGGGCTGCGCTGCTCGCCCGGTACCGGCGCTCCTGGCCCGGGAGGTACCGCAGCCCGGTCCCCGTCGCTGCAGACGCACTCAGTCCCGGCCTGGGCGGCGGGAGCGGAGCGGAGGAGGGAGTGCTGCTCCCGCCCGCTCCGCAGCGGCCCCGGCCCGGCCCTTACCGATGCACCGCACGTAGTGTTTTGCAGGAAGTTTCCACGCTCCTCGGTCTAATCCGTGCAAAGGGGGGCCGGAGAGGAGCGCGGCTGAATTGCGATGGAAGGGGGCGGGCGGGGACGTGGAGGAGGAGGCGGTAGCAGCAGCAGCCGTGTTTAATTTTTTAATTAGGGCACTTTGAGCATCTCTCGGCGGGGTCGCATCGCCGGGCGGCGAGGGGAGCAAGGGCGAGCTGCCCCCCCCGCCGCCCGGGACCACCCCGTGCCCGGAGCCGTCGGGACTCCAACCTGGGCTTTGGACAGCCGGCGAGGCGGCCCCGGAGCCGCGGGAGCTCCGCGCTTCGCCACCATGGGCAGCGCGGGCGCGGAGGACACGGGTGGGTACCGCGGTCGGCACCGCGGCGGGCGGCGGGCTCTGACCTTGCGGCGCCGCCCGGCCCGGCCCGCACGGCCCAGCGGGGCGGGGGCACAGAGGCACCCGGGGCGGCGGGGGGAGCAGGGGCAGGGGCAGAGCCTAAATCTGCCCTCCCTGGATAGCGGGGCCGGGAAAGCGAAGGCTGTGCGCGCAATCCTACAGCAACAATTGCTTTGCAGGTGCTCGGTCTCTCGCAGCGTCCGTCCCCAGGGAAGCAGGCAACACTTTTCCACGTTCACAAGTTAAGGATGATGCTAATGAGCATTTTATTTTCCTGCATCGCTGTATTATCGAAATCTAGACTACACACATGAATTCACAGCACAGGAGCTCCTGTCCAATGGAGACTCCAGGCTGGTGTATTTGCTAAGGATAAAATCTCATTTCTGCAATTCATTGCTTGTTGGAAGGATGGAGGTGTCACTGCCTGGCTACTGCTTCTTTGCAGGGGAATGCTGTTTAAGTGGAAAAGTGTTGCTTGCACCCAGAGTTACCATGCTGCAAAAACACTGCCTGCTTGTGTGGGGCTATGCTCTCCTTGCAGAACAGTGAGCCATGCCTTCATTTGCTGGGCATCCATGCCCTGGCCTTCCTACCTTCACCTCCCTGTCTTAGAACCCTGAAGATACAGTCTTCTCCTCTGCAGTTTAGAGAATACTGGCATGCAGTGTGCACATGAGCATGACAGGTTGGCTGTGTGGTCACAGCACGGCTTTTGCAGCATTTCTGGCCGTGTGTTATTAACTCAGGTAGCTCAGGCCCATTGGAGAATTCCATATTCATTCAAATTTCCATTTCATTAGGATTTCTCCATTGTTAGTCTTTTCATCCTACCACCTCCTATGCCCAATTTTTCTGATTAGCATTTCTGGAATACAGTTTAGTTTCCCTAAAGAGATAGTTAAGTGCAAATGAGGTGCTTCCAAAACTTTAAATGTCCCTAACCACACCACCACGTTTTCAAGTTAGGTTTGTTCTTACTCAAACACAAGCTCAGGACTGAAGCTATTAGAAGTACTTTGAGAATGACCACATCCATGAAACAGCAGCTGGGCTGCAGACATCCAAGAGGTGAACAGATGGCCATTGATTTGGTCCATTTTGTTGCACACTACCATTTATGAAGTGGGTTTTCAGGCAACTGAGGTTTAATCATGCCAAGAGGATGAATGCTCCCAGCTTGAGACCATGTAAAGATATTCCTTTCCAGTACCAAGCCATTAGAAAACAAATCCTATAGGGGGTTCTGTGAGAGAAGGACTGAGACCCAAAATACAAGAAAGATTATTCTGGCTACTTTCTTAATCTTCTCAGATTCTCTGTAGCCATAAGAATAAAGGCTAGGTCTGAAAAAAGTGGCATCCTGTCACCCCAAACCACCAAAGAACTGGAGCTGGGATCTTCAATCAACACCAAACACTGGCAGAGTTGGGCTGGTGATGCTCCTAGGATAAGAATTTCAACATCTTTCTTCCAGCTGCCTCACAATACTTAGTACCCATGGTGTTCCCCTTCACCATCCCCCCATAGGTGCAGTCAGCACCCCCAGCTTATACCTCTCTTCTTCTTAGCTAAGTGGTCTATATGCTAAGCTGTTTTCCTCATTCCTATTTTCTTTAGGACTTATAGTTCATTCTGACCTCAGAAGGGCTTCCAATGGCCTTTTATTTCACAGCAGGAGGTGAAGGAGCCTTTCTTTTTGCCAGTGTTTTTATACGGGCAACTCCAAGGAGTAGAGTCTTCACCTGTGAAAAAAAAAAGTCAAGCTCAGCCTGGGGCCAGCCCCCACAAAACGGCTCTGCAGATTCTAACTGATACAATGCCTGTCCCCATCACACTTTTCTGGAGGCTATCCTTGAAGATTTCTGGATCCAGGCCATGTTAGTTAGCATTCAGTCTTCTGACTCAGGACTTGACACATACTCTGCAGCAAATGGCAGGGTGTCTGACTGACTGGGAGAGGACATCAAACCTGTGTGCAGCACTACAGTGTGGAAACAATAAAAAAGGCACACAGGGTAAGACGTGCTACCACAGTTTTGGGGATACATAATTAGAGCAAAATTTCCTGTGAACATGGAGGCTTCAATTACAATTTCTGAAATTCAGGATAAGGAAGAGAAGAACACAAAGCTGCACATTAGAGTTTCCCAGAACCAATTCCCCCCCACCCCCAGCAAAATACATGGTGTTTTCTCAGGCAGCTGTTTCAGCCAAACTTTTGTTGGATACAACTAAGATATATTTTTCCATGTTTCAGCATCAGTCGAGCTTTGCACAGAGATCTGTTGCATAGTGTCTCCTGACAAGCACATAATGTACAAACAAATCCCGTTAATTCCAGTGTGTAACCTGCAAATCTAGTAAGACTGGAAGTCATATTCTTTGAAAATGACTCTCTATGGTGAAGAAATGTCATGTCAAACACAAACATATTTCTCTGGACTCAGCTCAGATGCAGGGTTCTCCACAGCCAGCCTATCACTAAGATTTTTCTCTATGTCTTTCAAGGTAGCAACTGGGGGGGTTGGGTCTGGCTTTTCCAGGTAGTGGCTATGTATCATTTTCCAGTATAAGCCTTAAATTTAATTTTTATAACCCAGTGTCCTATGATTTCTGGAAAGTAATTTTTTTCCTTGATTGGCTCTTGTTCAAATCAACTGATTTTTGACATAAATTTGTGATATTGAACTTTCTGTGATTTTTTTTCCCTGCAGAAGGTCAAACTTAATAGAAAAATTGGAAGTGTGCCCAGTGAAAATCCATATAGCAGGTGGGCTTTACCTATGATACATTTTCAGAAAATAAATATTGCTTGTTGTTGACATTATTTCTAATTCCAGTAGGCTATATCTGGATCTTTTCTCCAGCTTAACAGGAATTAAAACACTGTGACCCAAAGAGCAGAATATAATTCAAAACAAGGAAGGATCTCATACACAGCTCTGTAGAATAAACAGAACATTGGTTGTTATGCTTTGGCACACATGTAAAGACAGTAATAGGAAAACATATTATTTAACATCTACTGCATTGAGGTTTATTGCAAAAAGAAAAAGACTTGTGTCTTGCCCTTTTAACCTTTGTTTTAAAATTTTTATTCTTTATAGGGTAATTAGTCAAAAACCCCGCAAATTCTGAAGTGAGAGAGGAGACACCAAAGAAGATAAAAGTTCTGTCCATTTCTGTCTGCTCAGGAATGCCAAGTCTTATTTTTGCTTTTTTTATTGTAGGGTATGGCTACTTTCAGCCATGACTGCAGTACACAGATACCAGAGCTCCCTTTAACCTGGCTTAGCAGTGCAGGTACCTGAAGCAGTGTAGCCATGGCAGCACAGAGCTCTGAGTGGCCTAATTACTCTGCCAGGAAATAAATGGATACTGGTAATTCCCTGGGGAAAAAGATGGTTGAACCGTTAACAAAAAGAGTTTTTCCCTGAGGCACGTTCGTTAAATAGGTGTTAGCAAGAGGCAGGAAACCTCAAGCTCTAACCTCGGAATAAAAGTGCCTTTGTCCTTTGGTGCTTTTGATGTCCCAGTCCTTCCAAATCTCCTGCTGTCCATAGGCACAAAAGAAAGATGTGATTCTAATATCTGATGGAAAACCTAAGATAAAGCAAAATGATCCCCACCCCCAATTAAAATCTATACATAAGATCTCCTTAAACAGACAAAAATAAAAGGTTTCACCTGCCTGGAAACACGCAGAGCTCTCCTGGTGGCAGTGGCAGGGTGGAGTTGCCTGAGCCTCCTGCCCTCCATAGGACACACATCAGGGTCAGCCACCTGAGCAACATCAGGAGGGGTTTCAGACCTGCTGTTTCCTGTGCCTGTAAAATGGCAGGATATGCATGTATTTAAGGTGAAGACCAAGAAGAAGAAAAAAATGGGAGCAAGATTTAGGGGAAGGGAATTTAATTCTGTTATCTCTTCTCCCACCAATGTTTCCTCATACACAGGAGCGGACATGTATAGAGAAAGGTGAAGGGGTAATTTTATCAATATGCTCACTTTCTTACAAGCTCAAACACACAGCATTTTTTTTCTGAAACTGGGGACCAAGACTTCACTAAAATTGCACACACAGTGGTTTATTTTACAAGTTGGATCTATTTATTTAGACTCGTGATCTAAATCAGATGGCAAAATCCATATTATTTGGCTGAAATTGCCTTTGAGGTCAATGCAAGTTTAACTAGTTTAGGATAGAGATTTAAAGCCATTTCAGAAAACATACCTGGCTTCTCCAAGTGGAGACCTCGGTGAGTATTGCCAAATCAGAATCTGTAGACTTGTGCCCAGTCTGACAAAATACTATTTGCAACAGCCATGTGCTGAAATTTCTGTTTTGAGGAGACAGAAAGCCAGAAAATTGTGAGTTTGCTGTCTCATAACAGAGGCCAGTAAGTGGATGGTGTGTAGAGGCTAAAAGTTGCAATTTTTTCATATTAATTTAAATGTGAAAAAACAACAGGACACTGCTAAAATCCAAGCTGGTTTTCATTTCCCAATGTTCATATACTACAGCTTAGATACATGCATCCCATTTAGACCTAACCACACTGATTGGACTTTTCTATGCAGGCAAAGAAGCAATAGAGGTGAAAACCCCACAGAGTCACCAGGATGTGATGCCCAATGATGAGCAGTAATTACTGCAGCAACACTTCAGCCAGCATGAGTGTCAACGAAATGTCTGCCTTCCCTCTGACTCTAGAGCAAAAAACTGGCTTTGCCTTTGTGGGGATTTTGTGTGTTTTCTTGGGACTTCTAATTATCCGATGCTTCAAAATCTTGCTAGACCCCTACAGCAGTATGCCTTCTTCTACATGGGAAGATGAAGTTGAGGGGTTGGATAAAGGAACATTTGAATATGCTCTTGCATGAAAACTCACAGAATATCCTGCCTTAAATTTGATGTTGATTTCATTTTGGAAACCAACTGTTGTTACATTTGTTATACATCCCCGCATTTCGGAGATATGTTGGTGGCATCCATTTTGTTAAATAAATATTTGTTGCAAACTCAAAAGGCGCTTCACATTGCTTTTACTTGCCAAACAGTGTAATGGTAGGTAAGAAATGGCTAACAGAAACCAAATAATACAATAATTCAATAGAAAGTGATGATGGCCAATATTTTAAGAGTCAGATGATATCTGCTTCCTCAGAGAAGGATCTTGTTTCTACTGTGTCTCATGACAGGCTGGAAAAAAGATGAATAACACAAAAGACAGGCTCACGAATGGTGCATGTTTAAATTGTAACACCCTCCCCTCCTCATCTGACACAATTTTCTGAAACTCATAGTCTGTGCTTGTACACTGAGAATACAAAAGTGGAGGACAACAAATGTTGAGGAGGTGCCTGCCAAAGGTGTGTGTCTGTGTTGCTGAGGTGAGAGGAGCAAGGGCTAGTCCACATACTACCAATATTAAGAAACTAATGGGAAAGCCAAAGATCACATCAGTTGCTAACTCATCTCTCACCTTCCAAGAAGAGCAGGTGCTCTACTACTGACTGGTTATGAGGAAAGTACATTGCTTCTCTGTGAAAACTTGATGTGGTCCTTTGCAAACACTGTGTAGCTCACATGAGTATTTTTTTGATAGATCTCCCAATCTACAGCAACAGAAACTGAAGCAGAATTAGTGGAAGGGAAACAAACATCATTAAGGAAGTTTTTGATACTACAAACATTCAGCCATACAAAATATATTACCTGCTCAGAACTCCAAATCAACATCACCACAGTCCCAGTCCCCCAGCATTTCCTACATTGTTAAAAATTTTAAGTGGAGGAGAAAAATTGAATGTTAAATAACCAATCTAACTCTAGCTGAATTGGTCAATTGCCAATTTTTTACTACTTGGTTACAAATGTCGATTCAGTTTAAACTGGAATTTAAACTGTCTGGTTAACAGCTCCCAGCAATAATTACACCAGCTTGGCAAGGCCAAAGCAGAGACAATCATGCTTCTTACCATTTGTACCCAGTCCCCAAGAGGGACAAGGGTCCAAAGCTGACTGCAGAGCTCTGTACTCTCCAGCCCCTCTCCACAGCTGGTTCTGCTGCTCCTGCAACTTTGTACAGTGTTCTGGATCTTTGTACAGATCTGGACTGTCACTGAAGAACTGGTCATGGGAGATTCTATCAAAGCAGAAGTGAAACAGTGAAAGCAGAGACTCAAATCTGGATATTCAAGGTCACCCTCATATACACAGCTGTTTAGCAAGTGTGACAGTACTTGACAGAAATTCAATTCAGTTTTTAAGAAGGCTGGCATTAGAATTTTAGGCACTGTCACTTTTGCTAAACAGCTCTGTTTGCAACGAGGAGCTAAGACAAGGAGATCAGTTACAGCAGCTGTTTTCTTTTTTCATGTATTCTGAAAAAATACATGTTATTTCTTTTGCCCTATATACTAGGCAGAGGCAGAGAGTGGAACAGCAGACCTCAAGCGCCATTTGGAACATGACATACTTGATTGTACGGGGAAGGACATGAATCTCCTGTCTGAAGAATATAACAGAGGAAAAGCCAACATCAATCTACACCGGTCCAGTTGAATTATAAAACATAAACAGCTTTGTGAATATAAGGGCTTTTCAACTGCTTCAGATTGTACATAAGAAAAAATGTCAGACCTTCAGAGATTCAGTATATTGCATTTATCCTAGTTAATTTAACCATAAAATCCAAGGTAGATATCAGTACAATGATTCATGTGATCTGTTATTGCTGGATAGGATCATCCACTGCAGAGACCTGACACTGCCATTCTTTTTATGTACATCTAATCAGCACAGCTGAGCTCTGTGCTGTCAGGTTAGAGTGCTGAAGGTACTTAAGTTATCTGGGTTAAATATAGCTCAGTTATCTTTAAACTATACAACAAACACAGCAAACATACCCAAAGAACCCCAATATTGTCTTATGACTTTTGTTCTTGACCCAATCTATTACTGGAAGCAATTATCAAGTTCCCTTATGATTACAAAGCTTCATCATTTCCTGCCTGCCCTTCTCTGCATCCCAAATAGACAAGGAAGTCAGCCTTCCCAAGGAAGTCAGCCTTCCCAAGGAAGTCAGCCTTCCTGGAAAGAATACAGAGAACATAATTTTTCAAAGGTTTTCCTTAAATATACAGAATAAAACTTAAAAAGGGGTCAGGAGTAAATGGTTCAAAACTGCATGTAGGACAAGGGACCCCCCCCAACGACTGATCCCACTGACTTCACTGAATGTCTTCTGCATAAAATGCACCAAGCAGATCCTGTCCTGAACTCATTATCTACATGACTATATATGCAGAACTGAAAAACAGAGAGAACATGATCTGTGCATAGAATCTGGCATAGCTGGGAGGGAAATGGAGATAACAAAAGTATTTTCAGGCCCCCTTAGAAATTTTGCAATGCCATAAAGTCAGTAATTGTAATGGATAGGTACATTTGCTGGTTAATATGTAACAAGCTAGAATGTCTCTCTAAATCACCATCTAGAAATGTTTTGAAAGAGAGGGATTGGATGGTCTATTCAGTGTATTAAGCAGGAGAAAAATCTGGCCAATAAGGCAGAGTCTGTAATGCCTCAAAGAGAGGGACAGACTATATGCATGAATAAAAGAGGCAGATTGTCCTTCCCTAAAAACACAGGATTGAATGGTAAGTTAAATTACCCTGAATAAGGTAAACTTGATTATTTATGCGTAATGCTAGAATGCTAAACACAAAATTAATGACAAATAACAGTTGAGAGACCTCTGGAAATACATTGTGAAAACCAAAGTATTATTTTCAAGAACAGCAGAAAGGTAAGAGACTTTACTTTTCCTAGCAAAACAGTAATATTATGGAAATAAGACAGTGAAATGACAGAATCATTTTACTTGGTAGCACAAGTCATCAAAGCAAATTGTCATCAAAGAATTGGGATTTCATTCAGTCAGGGAGATGAAAACAAATCTAGTTTCACTGACCTTAATGACAGAAGATTTGTTTTTGCTCCTTCATGCCTGCAGATGAAACACTTCCTTGCAACTTTAAAAGGCTGAAGGAAGCAGAATACTATCTGTGATCAGAAATGTGTAATAATAATAACACTATTGATAATCCAGAGACAGTAGAAGTAAAATAAACTAAATAAATGTAACATTGCTGTGAGGCTTACAAAACAATAGGCAGGAAAACCAACATAAATATGAGGGGGTTAAAAAGTGGTATCATAGCAGAGAGGTTACAGCAGAATATTATCTATAGCTTATGGAAGAAGTGAGAAAATACGCTTTAGGTGTATCTCATACTGAAGATGGAGGACTTTTGATTATCAGCTCTTCAAATTATAATTTTGATATGTGATTTTAGAGAAAATTTACATTGCTGAGCTATAAATATTGATGCCAGTATTTACCTTTCTGTGCCAAGGGGCCAAATGCATTTCACAAAATCATTGAGAAATTTAAATTGAAAAAAATCTCAGGAGGTCATCTAGTCCAACCCCTTGTGAAAGCATGAAACTTAAAAAAAATGCCTGTAATGGGTTTATTTACCCAGATTTTCAGTTCATATATTGCTTTAAAAGATATATTTTGTTTCTAAAACTTTCTGCTTTTACAATCACTTGCAGAGTTTCCATGTCTAAGCAATGCTCTGGTTTAGTCCCTTTGAACAGGCCCGGACCCCTGCTGAATTATACAGGTCTCTACAACCACACTTTCTAATCTCCTTAGAAATATGTTTCAAGACTTATGGATTGCCATCATTTCAGTAGCTCATTTAAGGGCCATCTAGGCCATACTGTAAATTGCTGAAAAGGTACTTAACCCACTAAGGGCCTTAAACATACATACCCCTTCTTCTCTTGGTGTTTTTGTTTGCTCACTCATTTTCTTTGATGAGGGTCTGTGTGGGGAAGTGGAGGTGGGAAGGAGATTATACAGTGATATGTCCACCTTTCTGTGGGCTGCGACTCCGAAGGACCCAGAACAAGACAGAGGAACGGGACAACAGGAATCTCATGACATTCAACAAAGACAAATGGAAATCCTGTACCTCAGACAGACTTAATGCCTGCACCGTACAGGGAGCAACTCTCCTGGAAGGGACCTGGTGAGCAGCAGGTTACAGAGGAGGCAGTTCCCTGTTTCCATGTTTTAATTGCATGGTCATGTTCCAATTGCATGATCCATGTACATGGATGCTCACTGTGTCACCCTGCTCCTTTCTGGGTTTCCATAAAACAGATTGAAACAAGAGGAGTTTTTGGCCCATTTAGCACTCAGGCCTGTACCAAACTACTGCTGGTTTGGTTCAGGGGTTAAGTGTGTCCGGCACAGATGGAAAGATCTCCACAAACTCAGTCTTTGACTCAACTATTTTTTTAGTCAACAAGTCATAGGATGACAGTCTTATGGATACTTGGTGAGGCCAGGGAGAGCTTACGGTGGAAAATGTATCTAACCATGCAAAATAACAGAAATGTTTTATTTATATCTTTTATAGCAGAAAAACAGCAGACAACATTAGGAAGCCTGCTTAGACATTCAAGAGAAAATTCTCAGAACTTCATTACTCGAGGAGTAAAAATTTCATATGAAACAGCAGTAAACCCTTTGCTGTAGCTGCTACTAACTGGCTGCAGCCACAGAAGAGTAAAGGGCTCAGTGACCTGAGTCTGCAGCATCCCTGAAGATGTCCATGAACAATGCACCAAATGTATTCTCGGATCCAAATGCAAATCGGTTTCAAGTCAACATAATTAATGAAGGCCATGACAACAACGAAACAGCCCAAGAGGATGTGGGCTCTGACCCACCACATTATGAAGAAACATCTTTTACTGATGAAACACAGAACAGACTGAGAATCAGTTACAGACCAGGAAAAAGAGAATTATATGACAATTTCCTTCAAAATGCAGAGAAAACAGAAGCTAGTTTACATCCCTATGATACTCACACTAAAATGTATTATCTACAAACTTTTGGCCATAACACAATGGACCCAGTTCCCAAAATTGATTATTATAGAAACACTGGCAGCGTCAGTGGGAATAAGCTCAACAGACCAAGCTTATTAGAAATTCATGAACAACTGGCAAAGGTAAGTGAAAAGGAAAGATAAAATTTTTCTCTATTCTATTTCCAGACTGTTAATTCTGCTTATTAATATGAGAAAGTCCTTAGATTCATGGACCTTGCCCAAGAGAAAAAGTACAAGTAATTACCATATTTCCTCTGGTAGCTGCAGTCTGCTTGCTGCTCTGTATCCTGATCAAAGCAAAGATTTTTATTAAAAGGTGGTCATAAGGTACTTGATTAACAGAAAAACATTGCTTAATCTTGTCTAAAAGTATGGATCTACTTAATCTCTTCTGTTCCATGTAAGAGTTAGGATGGCAGATGATAAATGTCAATTCATAATTTAACCAGGCTACACAATTCACACTTATTCTGAACTTGAATTTAACATCAATGCATAACTAATTTTGACAGATTCCTCCGCTGTACTCATTAACAAATATAAGTGTTATAAAAAAGATTATGTGCAACAAATGCAATCTCAGTCAGAAATCCAAAGCACTCCCTGTTTATTGCTGTAACAAACCGTTCAAACTGCAAAAAAGAATCCAGAACAAGGCTGTTGAGGCTGAGAGTGTTTGCTCAGAAGAGGGATAGCAGACAAGAGTTTTCAGGTGCTGATTCAGTGAATGAATTTAGGCCTTCACACTCATTATTCCAATGAATTTGGAATGAATCTGAAGAGCTTCTTGAATGACTACATAGAAAGCATTTATGGAGGAATGATTTGGCTAAATTCCTCCTAATCTGTCAATGGAAGAGCTGTTTAGACTTCGCTCATGTAACAGATGGGGCTATATCCATGTAAAATACACTTACAGAGAGAACTATAAAACAGAATACAACTGTCTAACCTGCCTTTGAATGATTTTCTAGAGGTTTTTCTCCTCTCTCCTTCAGACAGACCTATTTTTGGTGGACCCACTGTAGGCATTTACTATTGATATATATGCATTTTGTGGGGAAAAACCCCCCTTCCCCTTAGCAGACTCTTCCTGTTTGCTCCACTTTTTCCACGTATACACCACAGTAAGTGAATAATGAAATACCAAAACATGCCCTTTATCATGATAATCCTCACTCTTGTCACCCCCCATGGCTACTTGCAGAAGAATATACATTTGTCAGGTATGATCCTCTGGGGTTTGCACGTTGAAAACTACCACTGGAAAGAATTTGAGAAGTTGGTAACATTAAGTCTCAAATACCAGATTTTCACTAATTTCTGTGTTAGTGTCTCAGATAGGTGAATTTTGCTGTCCAGTCACCTATCTAGATATTTTAAGGGTTGATTACCCTATGTGGAAAAAACCCAAATAGCATGGAAAGCTGTAATAAGAACTACTGTGGCAAGAACAAATAGATTAAGCACTTTGAAACAGTTAAACTACTAAAAGACCTACTACAAAACAGTGGAATAACACGTTACTCTACTGACTTCATAAGCCATATCTTCCCCCTTAAGCCACAATACCAAGTTCTCTGTAAAAAGCAGAGACACGGGAAGGATACAGCTACCTTCAGAATCAGAAACGTTTTTTGAGGTTCTTAATTGTCCACTTATCAGGGCAGGGCTGGAGAGAGATCATTGCTATAGTCAAGCTGAGACTAAAAGTGCCAACATGCAGCAAAAATCCCCATTCTTTTTTCTGTGTTGGCCAATTGTGAAATGAGAAATTTTGAGAGAAAACAAGCTCTTATCCCCATTCCACTCAGTTTTACATACTTCTGAGGTCTGAATAATCTGGACAAGCATCTGATTTTTGGATGCTGGTCCAGATCTTATTCAGACTTCCACTCTCTGCAGATTCACCTGTCCTAAGGAGGGTAATATAAAATAATGAAATCAAGAAGAAAAATAGCCATTAGCAAATTAGGACCCAATTCTTTAGGATCTTATTAGGGCAGCTTCCTAGCCTTGGCCTAACTTACCTAAATTAAGGTCTCCACAGACCTGTGTAAAATGGCTTACATGGAAAGGAGAAGCATTTCCAAAGACGAATGCGAAGTGGATATAAAAGGGAAAAAATATGAATTTGGTATCTGTATTCCTTTGCAGATGTACAAACTGCTGCTCAAGAGACTAAACACATTTCTATGCCCAGAAGAAAACTTCCTCTTATAGAAATAATTTACTTCAGTAGTGGCCAGAGAGGAGTAAAATAGTGTCTTGGCTTTGAACATAATGCTGAATGATCAGGTACTGAACATAAGCATATTAAGGAATTTTCAGTTTTGATCATAACCAGAAAATTCCATGTTTTTTACTGCTGCATCTCTTAAAAGTTTGTATATTTTAAACACAATTAGATAACTTTGTTTAGGTTTTTTTAAGGCTTTCAACTTAGAGAAGGTTAAAAAGAAGGCAGATGATATCACAGAATAAAATGAAGGGAGAATTGCTTCACAGGTTGGGACTGTTAGGGATGAGAAAAAGAGCATCATCTAGCTTGGTCATTTCCATACATTTTCCAGTATTCAGCTTACAGAAGGATAATCTTATGCCTTTCAAAACAGGAAGGTGAATGTCAGAGGTAATGGGATTTTTGTTACACTGGCAACCTGCTGTGCCCTTATGTGAGTTGTGGCCCTGGTGTGGGAGCCACTGACCACAGCCCTGGAACAAACGAGGTGCCATTATCAGGGCTGGAGTCTGTGCCTGGCTGTCCTGGGTCTCCCTTGGTGACCTTGGGCAAATCACTTCGGTCTGCAGAGCTTATTCTGAAGAATAAACAAACACAAGGTCACTAAATAGCAGATTAGTAGGAAGGGAATTAGGATGGTATGAAAAGGAGGATACATATCCTATCAGGAGGATAGGATATGTATGAGCAGCTGGACAGGGGCCCTGCCTGCAGCCCCTGCCTGCAGCAGGAGCTCTGGCCACCAGCAAGTAGGGGATGAAATGCCCCACTGAGCAGGTACAAGGGTTACACAATAGCCCGAGGTGCCGTTCTGAAGAGGATGCTCTATTTTACTTTAACACTAAAATCTGGTCTTACCACACTACACCCCAAGGCAATCCCACCCCCCTCATCCCCAATTTGAAACTCAGATTGTTAAAGACAACTATACTGTCACAAGCCCATTGCCAGATTCTGATAAGAAGTGGCATATGTTTGACTTCAGATTGCTAAACATCACATAACCATTCCCATTGTGCTTTGATGCTGGGCTTCACATCAGAAGATAAATATTAATATTTAATACTTTTTTTAATATGCAATTTTTCAAATGTCAGAATGTAAAGCAGGCTGAAAGGAACTTCAAATATCTAGTTTCCACACTGCTGGAGTCAAATGTGTGTCATCTTTTACCAAGACATGTCAGTTTTTTGCACATATTAAGCCACAGATCGCCAATTAAATCTCTGAAAAATAGTCTAAGTGCTACTTCACAGCTGATGGCTGCTGATAATTACTTGGGCTTAATATTTACCCTACATAAGAAATAATCTAACCTTTCTTCCTCTTGGCTATTCTCCACACTTGTTATGGAGACTTGATGAGCTCATCATCTTTAGCCCCAGGAGAGATGAAGACTAAACCATTCTGAAACAAGAAAGGAAAATGTTTGGGTTAGTTCTTTTTTATTTTTTTTTAAGCAGTTAACTTTTTATTTTAGTAGCTTTTCAAAATGTTCTGTCACTTTTATTGCACATCCTTAATGCATGAGTAGCACAGGTACAGCTGCTTGGTAAATAACCAATCATTCACTAAAGCACGCCAATTTAAAATGCATTTATGGAAGGTTTAAGGCCATAATTTACGATAATGGCATAGAGAGCACAAATTAATTCAAAGTACAGAGGAAACAACTTGTTTCAAGTACAAAGACCAAACCCTTTTAATTTTTTTGTCTTTGAAATTCTAACCACTGTAGCAAAAAACCCTCATATTATTCTGCTGATCTTCCTTAACTCACTTTAATCATTTACCGTATTTTGAGCAGACACAGCCATTATTATTTCAGGGTAAGAATTGTCAAAAGTATCTAAGTAACTCAGGAGCTCAAAGTCATAGGCTTTCAACAGATCTTGTATTCCCATTTCACTTAGGGCCAACAGGGCTGTAGGCACCAAGTTTAGTCCATGTCGAAATGTATTATCCAGTCACTTATTTTTCATTTGTGAGCACAGTCCTGGATTTACTGTGTCAAAGGCATTCTACATCATCATGACTAGAGCCCCCATCCATGAGGGGCAGGTCCAGATATTAGTGTAAAAGGCATATTCAGTTGGCCTTTATGTCTGTTTTGGGTTTGCATGTTGGGTATTTTTAAGTTCACGGACAAAATACAGAAACAGCCTTAAGGTCAACCAAGATGAAAAATCTCATATGTTTCACAGAATTACAAATGTTTTTCCTCCTTGACCTGCTTGGTTAATCTGGAAATATCTTCATTAACCTTCAAACCTTAAAAGCACCTTCATTCCTCTCCAGAAGTGGTACCCACTCCTGACTCTGCCAGACTTTGGCAAGGGGCTTGGTCCTTCCTGAAGGCCTTTGCAGAGGACCCAGAAAATATCTGGCAATAGCTAACCTAATGCCAGCTTCTCCCAGAACCAGTGAGAGCTCTAAATAAGATAAAAAAAGAAATTAAAAGCAGCAATGACAAAGAATATAAACCTCAGCACCATGACTAATTCCTGTTCAAGCCACAAGAAACATATCATGGTGCTAAATTGCCTCAAAGATTCTGGGGCAGAAGAGCTGAAGAGATAAAATACAGATTTATATTTCTAACCGAATATGAACAATCTAAAATTCTGGACTATTATTCTGGTTACACCACAAATACAGCAATCCTATCTACTATGGTTACACCAGAGGTGGCTAAAACACAGAAAGGATTATTCATTTACTACATTTCACTGGCATTTCTTTAACTGTTTTCAGGAATATGTTACCCATCTGCTGCTGCAGTTATGTTTGTACTTTATCCAACAGAAAACAGTGGAGTTCATCACATAACTTCACCATGCAGCACTCAGCTCAGTCTCTTTTCACTATTGAGCAATTATCCTTCCTTCTACACTTGGAGTTATTCATAAATTGCTGCAAGAGCATGCAGAGGCCAACCAGGAGCCTCTCACTATCTTAGATGCTCTACTTACATATCAACACAATATGTATGTGGAATAGTTCACAATAAAAACACTTAAGTACAGATAATAATGTATTTACTCTACTTAAGCAGTTCTTTCATCTTTTCTCCCTGTTAGCAAGCCCACCTGCTGATGCCTTGTGTAAGCAGAATATTGCTCTCTACTCCAGAGGCAGTAAAACCTGATCTTCTTTGGAATTCCTTTCTCCTGTGTCTCTCTTATGCAGCCAGGTGTCCTCTGCTTTGCACAAAACCGTGTTTGTTTTCTGTGTGATTCTCCAGAACATCGCTGTGAGCACTGGCTCAGTGGAGAGAATGGCTAATGGAGAGAGCACAGCTGGAGATGAGACAGCAGCCAGCAAGGAAGAGGAAAACAAAGCAGGATTTGTCAAGTTCGGATGGGTGAAGGGTGTGCTGGTGAGAAACTTACCTGCACTTCTAGACAAAAAAATTAAAAGCAAATAAAATCAGTTCTGTTACACTAAGGTCTTCTAAGAATTAAGAGTGGGAGACGGACTTCAGGGATGTTTGGAGTGTTTTTTAAAAGCCTGAAATGTACTCTGTCGTGCTTCTGGTTGTTAACACTACTTTCAACATTGCACTAATGTGGTATTTTTTCTTTAAAACCTAGGTAAGATGCATGCTTAATATTTGGGGTGTGATGCTCTTTATTCGACTTTCCTGGATTGTAGGTCAAGCAGGAATTGGTATGTATCTTATTTAATATCATTTTCAACAGTGAAGGGATAAAGAGGATAAACTATACATGATCATGATTAATATATAATCTGAGATGTGCATTTGCATGTTGAACTAAATAACGTTTTCAAATGCTTGCCAAGGTAAAAGACATTAATCCTCCAAACTATTGGAATTTTCCAGACTCACAGCCAAATTACTGCTTAGAGGCACAGATCTGTTAACTATGCATATGATCATCACATTTGAATATTTCTAAGCTTTAGTGAAATTTGTATTTAGATCCTGTAACAGATGTAAACTTTATGACTCGGGCCAATTTCTAATATGTGAGTACAGAGTTAACCTTTAAGAGTTCACACTTTGCTTATCTGTGAAACCCAAACCTTGTCATCTACATATTAAAAACAACACTTCTTTACACTTCTCTGCAAGGATGAAAACAGAACTGGAAGGAGGTCTCATCTCATCAGGATTTTGTTATTTTTAGCTGCAGAACAGTACTAGATACTAGCATACTATGAAAGACTAAGTTTAAAAAACTCTGCTGTAGCTTTCATATAAATTAACTAAGTCCACTTCATTATGTGCTGTATCTTTGCTTCTTCATTGTGCAGTTTAATTAATCCAAATTCCAAATGCCAGTCCCTGAGAGACTGGGCCCTGAGGCCTCCATCCAGTATGTTGCTGAGTGTTCAATGAAACCAGTGAGAGAGGAAAGAGCTCACAACCCTGCAAGAATCTCCAGACTACAAGAGCAGCTCAATGAGGTGCAATTTCTGTGTGGTACAACTGCCTTTTTAGAGCTGCTGCTCTGGGGAAGCACAGAAACATGACCTGCAATGGCACTGTCACTCTGTGATTCATGATCCTCAATCTGGAGTGTTGGGGCCCTAATCTTTGACTGGCACCCAGATGTTGCAAAAAACGCAATCCAAAGGCATGATGGCAAGTATTCCAGTTTGGATATTAAGTAAATTAAGGAGCGTTGACTCTGCTGGGCTTGGATAAAACTCAGTGCTCAAAATCAGATCGGTATAAATGTCATTCACTTCCTTGTGAAATGAAACATTGAATCCAAACATCTCCAAAATTTTGCATGGTTGAAGTCTCATTTCCAATAAAATACAGTAACTTCATAGAAGTTTCACTTGAGCAAGTCTGAGCTTTTAAAAAAAGAATAACAAAGGAAACGCTTATTAAGTAAAAAATCCAGCCACAAACTTACAGAAACATAAATAGAAACAAGAAACCCAACAATAAAAGATCCAGAACTAAGCAGGAGAACTTCAGTACTTCTGCAGTGCTCCATGCGTGGCTCCAGCACTGTGCCTGACAAAAGGGTGCTTGCTGATTTTATGATGCATACCAAATGAGCACGTACAGCCCAGGGCACTCATAACTATATGCCTTGCCATGAAATTTCTGCATCTTAATATTGCCAAGACTTTGCTCTGGGGTTTCATGCAAAATTAGTTTTTAAGGGCAGTTTAGTAACTTATTGAGATCATCAAGAAGTATTACTTTGTTTTGAGGTGTGAGAATAGCCATGGGCAAGAGTAATTCATTTTGGAACAACTTACTTAGGAGCCATATGCCTGCTTTTCAATCTAAGCTTTAATCAGATTTTTAACATTAATTTGCACCAACACCAGTTACAACCTTTCTGCTTTCACTTTTAATTTTACCATTTTAACTCATTGATAAGCAGACTCTCTTTCCTTAGAGTTTATTGTTCTGCTGTTGCTTTTTAAAGTTGCATGTGTTATGCAAGGAGGTTAGTTTTACTTCTGAAAATGAGACGTCAAATTCCATATGAATAATTTCTCATTGCATTTTCTGAATGTCTTATTAGCAATGAGCTTTAAGTCCCTAGCCAAGCTGCTTAAGGAGAACAGTGATGGAAGCTCATCATCACCAAGGCTCAGGGATTTCACTGGGTACTGCTACTAACATGGAAATTAAATGAGTCAGTTAAACCACCATCTGGGCACCATTTATATCCCCATCATTAGAGGGCCAAAGAGAGCAAACCCAATTATTTCCGTATCCTGATAGGCTGTCTTGGGCAAAAGCTCTTACAGGGGGAGAAACCTACCATTCAACAAAGATCTGTGTTTATCATCAGCTGGGAAAAAAGGGACAGTATAGTCCTGACAAGATTCCAGGTCCAAAACTAGTCTGGTATTTTGACCTAACATCTGAGGACTACATGTACCTGGAATGGTTAGCCAAAGGAAGGGAAAAACACCAAGTTTATGTTACCTGAAAATCTGGCCCTGAATATACAATTATGTTATGTTATATGACAATGTTTTGGTTAAGCCACTTCATTTTTTGCACTTTTATTCTTAAATCTTACAATATTTTTTAAAAATTAACATTAAAGTCTTTCTATGAAGATGTTACTATCAAGTTAGCAACTCTATATATCATATACATGTTAACGACATGAATTGTGAAATGCAATAAAACATCCTTGAAAAATATTCCTTAGGATGCACATGCACTTACCAAATAATTTTAAAACTACTTTAAGAATAATATGTCTAACTTATTCAATTTAAGAGTTAACAGCTGATTAAAAATCATGTTCAGCCACTTCTCAGACACAAAATTTGCATGGTTTAACCTTCTGTGTAATGGTAGCTGACCAAAAGGAATGACCATTTGGATTTCTTTTTATACAGACCTGCATACAAAAAGCTGCGTGACCAGTTAGAGTTCAGAAATCAATAGGATAAACATAATTTTTTAGAGGCTCAAATTACTTTGAATGTCCTACACCATGTTATATATCATTTATGTCTTGCACATGACATCGTTCTGTCTTAAAGGACTGTGATAACATGGCTATAATTTAAGCAGCAAAGAACTCAGGGACTGGGTGGCTATAACCATCCAGTATGAACTGAAGTCAGGAATCTGATCTGGAAGCCAGAAGGTAGAAATAAACCAGATAAATCAATCAGTTTGTAGTACTTCTTGCTCAGTGTTAGTTGTCGGATCCAAGTTTCAATCTGGATGAGCCCTGGTCAATAAATATTGCTACAGGCAATGTATGTTCTCCAGTTCCACACTGAACACCTGTGTACCTCACAGACACAAGGCAGCTAGTGCATAAGCCTTAGCAAGTTCAGATAAAACTAAAAACTGATTGTTAACAGAAACCTGACCATATAACCAAAGACTGGAAACGTTCTCAGATTTCAGAGCATAACTTAAACTAAAACCCAGTTCACCTGTAACTAATCACCTTTCACTGATCTTCAGATGTTTGATTATTTCACTCAAGTTTGTGATATCAGCTAAAAAAAAAAAAGAATATTCTAAGTTCCCTAAGATTACAGGTCACCTGTTAAAGTAAATGGCATCTAAAAAGCAGTATTTCCATTTTCAAATGTTTGTCCTGTGTTAGACTAAAACCACTTTCTGCAGGGAAAGAGGGAGATGAGGACATCACTCAGGTTTTGTCTCTCTGCCTGACTGACTCTTTGTCCTGGTACACTATGAATCTTCCTCTGACTCACTATTTAATTATATGATGAAAGACAGCAGCATTCTTACAAGAGCTCTGGTTAAAGTGTCAATCTCCTCATTTAAACAGCCAGGATGCCTGTTAAAGGTAGATATAAGTTTCCATGTCAAGGGACACTTGCTTGTTCATTTCCTCCAGCCTTTGAAAATCATGAGAATTTCTGGCTAGAGTACTCCTATCACAAAGAATCACTGCTTGAAGACTGATGGGAATAATTTACTACCATGTCATGGCCTCCATGAAAATGTTCTGCAAGCTGCAAATGGTCAACAAACCATCTTTTCAGTTTATTGCTCTGATTCTGGCCTGAAAATTCAATTTAAAGAGAGAATGATTTGTAGGAAACATGGAACATGAGTAAAATATTTTATCTTCTTATTACTGACAGGTCTTGGAGTAATCATAATTCTCCTCGCCACGATGGTAACCTCAATTACTGGGTTGTCAACTTCTGCAATAGCAACTAATGGGTTTGTCCGTGGAGGTAAAAATCTTAGGGTTACTAATGCTTTCAAGCCCAAAAAGGTATTTATGTATTATTTCTGTGTGAGACAAACCAGAGGGACGATAAACCAAGTGGTACATCTAAAGGAACTGGAAGGTAACAATTCTAGCCACCTCTCATCACAATTTAAGGCACGTTTGGGTAGTCACTTTTAATAAACCACAGATTTCAGTTCAGTCTGAGAAGTACATTTCAGGTGTTCCTGCCTGCTGTCAGCGAGGGATGGCTGCTGGCTTTCCATGGCTGCTCTTACCTTTCAGCTGGTCTTTCCTATTCAGAGCATTCCAGGTTGGACATCCTTCAACAAACTGAGCACGGAGACACCTCTTCCTCTCATTTTAAATACTGATGCACATCAGTGGATGCCTTCAGTTTAATGCCTTCTTTATAACACTCCTTACATTTCAGCCACTCCTTGGAAGACGAGTAAATGATTTTGCTGTAAAAGTGCATGTCAGGTATTTTATGAAACAAATTTCTAGTGCATTTCAGAGCCTTTAAGTTCTATCTGGCCTGGTCTAACCTCTCTGGAAAATGGCAAGTTCTTACTACGTCATTTAAGCGCAACAGGTACTGGAGTACACTTGAATATACTTTCTTTTTCGGATCTTTCAGGTCTTGGAATCATAGTTATTGCTCTGAGTGTAGTAGTAACAACATTGACAGGTATCTCCATGTCTGCCATTTGCACTAATGGAGTAGTAAGAGGAGGTAAGTGAATATGATCTCATGAAAAATACAAAAATCTGCAGATTTTAATTAGAGAAATAAATGGAATTGAGATAACTGTGTTATAAGCAAAGAAATAATAAGCAAATCTATTTGGAGTGATTTCTTTCAGTGCATCAACAGCAAATTAAAATGTATATAAACTTAAAGCAAAAAAGATTAAAGATTTACTGCAGGAGCTTAAACAATGTACCACAGAATATGATCCTTCATGCTAACACTGGGACAGATCCATGTAAGTTAGAACCTGTCTGGAAGTGAGGTTCTCTCTCCTTTGTGTTATTATATCATGTATCATGAAAAATTATAACAAGGTCCAGTTTTGCATGCTAATGTGCACTAAAAGATTTCTGCAATAGAAAGGCATACTGAGAAGTCTGAGGGCAGAACCAGTACAAAGCACATTGCTTTTCTCTAAGTGCCCTCTATCAACATAGGGCAAGGTTCAGTTATATTTGTGAGGCTGAAAGCACAGATTTCTGCAGTAATTGTTATGTGGGGAAAAAACCAGCAAAAACGGAGCATTTAGTTGTCCCAAAATAACAATCATTTCTGTCTGCAGGTGGAGCATACTATCTTATCTCAAGGAGTCTGGGCCCAGAGTTTGGTGGATCTATAGGACTTATCTTTGCCTTTGCCAATGCAGTGGCAGTTGCCATGTATGTAGTTGGATTTGCCGAAACAGTTGTGGAACTTCTTAAGGTAAAGGTAGATGTTTCAGGTATATGATTAAGTTGGTTTAGAGGTTTTTTGTGTTTTGTGTGGCTTTTTTAGTTTTTTAGGGGGTGGTGTTTGTTTTACATAATATATTTGTTTAAGTGGTGATACTTTTTAGCTAAGGCTTGAGGGGCATTTTTAGCAGGGAGAAGCTGGTGTGTCTAAAGATGCCACAGAGCGCTTCTCCATTATTTCTACCTTATGAATATATTTCATATATTTCTTGACAAGAATCTCAAAATCAGAAGAGGAACAGACATCTAATTAGACAGCCAAATAACCCCAACTGCAAAAGGCCAGCTGGAACATGAAATACAAACACTTGGTCTCATAAATCTCTGCAACTTTGACAGCTCACTGCTCTTTACTTCACCTTGTTACTTGATCCCACCAGTTGGGCAGAGAAATACTGGTTCTATTAACATTTCTCACTGCTTTCAGGAGAGTGATACTCTGATAGTAGACGAGTCCAATGACATCAGAATCATAGGCACCATAACTGTTGTCTGTCTTCTCGGCATCACTGCTGCTGGCATGGAATGGGAAGCGAAGGTAAACCTTTAAAAGAACATTAAAGCAAGTGGTATTTTAGCCTACTGTACAGAATTTGTGTGTGAGGAATGCTACACAACAGGTGGAATTTTCAGAGGCACCCAGTTTCAGTTTATGCTTAATCTTTCTAAAAGCAAGAGCAGTTTAATCATTACATTCAATGAAAACAGAATTACTCGACACTCTTCCTTGAACATACATTTAAAAGCAAAGAGGAAGTTTGTGTTCTGCAGACAGCTTGGTTACATTGATTTTTATAATTCATGGCTTCATTTAGAATCTTGGCTAAGTGCCCCTTTTGCCCTTATTTTTGATGCAGTTTGACAGAATAAACAGTAGTAAAATATTGTTTTATCACTGTACTCTTTCAAGCCCTGCTCAGCAGAAGATCTCTATTTGCTACCCATTCCTTAATCTCTAATGATTTCTGCTATTCCTTCACCTGTAAAAAAAGGTCAGAATGCAAATTCAAATGGAAATACTTTAGAGGGTGTAATATAGCTATTGAAATCAGGACCAGAAAACAGATTCAACAGCATCCTTATTTTTACATTCTGCTGTGATGGAGACTAGAACTACTTGAAAAAGAGATCAGAAAACGATTTGATATTACAACCCTTAAAGTCACAACTCACTGCAACTAAACAAATTTTATAACAATATAAAAATGTCTTATACTTGATATTAATGCATTAGTGTTCCATTTGCCTTTCCTTGTAAAGAAACGAACATAAAATTAAATTATAACTACATATTTCATTGCTCCCTTAGTAAAAAGTATCTGCTGTTGTCACTAGCTGATTCAGCTACCTTGATTCCTGGTAGTTTGGAAAACTACAGAAATTAATAACCTGTCATAGGGAACACATACAGATAACTTAATGTATAGTCATCTCCACAGCAACACAAATTAAAACTAACAAGAAAATCTTTTTGCTTCTATTAATAGGCTCAAGTTATTCTTCTAATTGTTCTCCTTGTTGCCATTGCAAACTTCTTTATCGGGACAGTCATTCCTACCAACACCGAAAAGAAGGCAAGAGGCTTTTTTAATTACCAAGGTAAGCAACCTTGCAATCATAAAATTATGTTTGCATTCTTTTGGTTTAGCAGTAAGTTAAGGATTCCACTGAAAAAGGTCACAAGATCAGAATCGTCTGTGCAAGTTTAAGTGACCTTGCAAACAAAGGGAATTTATTTCATCTTTAATTTTGAGTCTGTCTCTCTGCTGCTGAAGTTGACAGCACAGTGAGCTGCAGCTTGAGTCATTTATACATGAGTAGAGCACAGACAAACTTTAACACAGACCTAAGTGCAAGTACTGCAGTGACACTTCTGTCACTTCCATATGGCTCTGTAGCTCTGAGATGCAGACAACCACATCCTACTGAGGACCAGACTGAGGAAATCAAATTCACTTTTCTTATGATATGAGACACATTCAAACCCAGTCTTCCAGATGTGAAAGATTGGCTTATTCTCCTCATTCGTTAAGTAATTTTGGAATCAAATCCTGGTGGCATATTTCATTTTTACCTGTATTTGCAGCATCAATATTTGCAGAAAACTTTGGACCAGATTTCAGAAGTGGAGAAGGATTTTTTTCGGTGTTTGCCATTTTTTTCCCAGCTGCCACTGGCATTCTTGCAGGAGCCAATATCTCAGGAGATCTGAAAGTACGTATTTCATTAACTTCATAATACTATCTGTAGGCTGAAAAAAAGAACAAGAAAGCAAATCATGAATCAACTCTGTATTCAGTTTTAAAACATGTCTTATTTTGGGAAGCAAAACTCTCACTTTTAAGTACCTGATTTATTAATTGAAAACATCAGTTCACATTTTCTCTCATAAGCATTGTGGCTACTTACAGAAATTACTGCAGTTAGATTTGGGTTATTGTATCATTTAAAAGCATGTTTCAATAACTTGTAATAATATATCATTAATGGTCCATTAGCAGCATATGACATAAGAGAAATTATATGTGTATCTCTTAAAGCTTGTATTTTGTAAACATCAATCCAAATATCACCCCAAAAATCATACCTCATGTTTGTACTCACAGGAATTGGCAGAGACCACCTTTTGTATTCAGAGTCATAGCAAGGGCAGAGCAAACAGGGCATTTAACGAAAGCAAGTATGTCCCAATCCCATGTCACTACTGCTGCTCAAAGGAAAAGCTGCAAGCTTGCAGCTGTGACAAAAGAAAAGAGTCTGAAGAGAAAGGGGAAGGAGGTCCAAGGGCGACCAACTGTCTTGCTGTGGCCATTCTGTCTGTTCCTCACTCTCCTCTTGCTGTTTAGCAGTTGTAGTGGATGGTATTTCCAGCATCTAAAATTACAGGTAAACTAGAGACGGGAATTTAGTTTCGAGTGCCCTCTAGTTTCCATCACAAAAACATCCAACTCCCCCTCCAAATTAAAAAGAAAAATAAAAAAAAGTCACCAACAAGATGTCACTCACAGCTTGATAACCCCAGTATGTCAGACTAAGTTATTTGGCCTTCTCATATAAATCCATTGCCTTGGATACTCTAAGGATTCATCCAAAGGTCTGTTATATCTGTATTGGCATAGGAGTCACAAGTTAATCACATCCTACCACACTTGACAGCCAGTTCTCTTTCCCTTCCTCACACTGAGCTGATGCCTCATCTCCTTTGTTTTCAAAGGACTGCTTTTCAAGCCAAGCACAGAGAGAACTACATTGAAACTGAGCCACTGATAGCGTCAGTGAGATTCTAGTTTTAATTAAAAAACCAAAAATCATTGTACTTCTGCCCAGTGAGACTGAATCAGCCTCACACAATCTCCATCCTTTTAAAAAACAAAAATAATTCTTTTGCCATATATGGTGCTCTCTCTACATGGCAGCTCCCAAAGCAGCAGCACTTCTTTCATAAGCTGTTTGAAAGAATCCGAGCAGACAGAGTTCTCCCGTTGGATCTCTGCAGTTGTTTCAGTCTGACAATAAGTGGATTTCTATAAGCAAGTCCTCCAGACTGCAGATCCCCACTGAGCATGTTTAGATGCATTAGACAGGTCTAATTAAATTAACCAGCCTCTCCAGAAAACTAAAAGACAAGCTAAGGAGTGTTTAAAAAGTGTAATATTGACCAACCAAACTTTCTTTGGAATTTGTTGCAAACACCTTCATACATGCTCCTGCAGCCACTACATACTCAAGCTGTGTCTTAGTCCAAAGCCTACTTCCAAAAACAAATAGTCTTCCTGGTGACTTCAGTAGGGTTTGGAGCAGCCCCTAAAGTGCCAACAACATAGTAAATATGTGTTTGATTCTTGACAGAATTTAAAAGTTGTAAAGCTGTAGAAAGACTTAACCCTAAGATTTAACGTTACAGAGTTTAAGATAACCACATTAGACTCTAGATGACCTGAGACATGCACACCAGAACTCCATAAAGTTGCCAAGGTCTGAAAGCAAAGGGTGTTAAATGCAGATCAAGTGACTTCAAAATTATTTTTCAGCTCAATAAATCTTTACGTCATTTAAAAACTATATTAATTATTAACACAGTTAAACCATTCATCCATGTTTCACATTGGTTTTAACCATGCAATGACCATAGTTATAAAAAGTCTGTGACTTAAAATGCATTCAATTCATTTTTTATTTAAAAAACCTTACTAAACCAACTTAAGAAGACAATTAATAAAAAATGCTTCCTAGCATAAACAAACACACCCTAAACTGTAAGGTTATCTAGCATTAAAAACCCCTTAAAAATGTATAATGCAGATCTTTGGACTCACAGTTGCATGATTGAAGCCGATATTGTTGTGAGCTAGTCTGTAAGCATCACAACCCAGCCTTTTTAAATTATCTAAATTAAATGTCAAAACAGTGAAAGAAAGTAGCTGTTGTGAAGACCCAACTAACAATTACTAGTTGCTAATCACAGAAGTACTGTATTCTGTACAGGGTCACTGCATCCATCTCACCAATTAACCAAAAATGGTCCCATCTTGTCATCCACAGGAGTTTGATGGTTGGTTCAGTAATTATTTAGCGATTACATCATCAAACATTAAAATAAAGCCAACTGCAATGTAAAGAGAGTTTGGAGCTCTCAGAAATTGAGAGATCAGGACCCTCCTGCTGCAATAAATGTGACCTCTGCTCCTGTACAATATCCTTCACTGTGTCCAGGACAGGAGCACTGCACCACAGGACCACTTCACACTGTCTGCGTGCTGGGACCCAAAATGTTGGTGTAGGTCAAGGGATAAAAATCTGCCCTCTAAGGGTATCTTCATACCACAGTGTGGCAGGACTCCCAGCATGCAAATGCAATCAGACTGCAGCACACACACTCACAGTGTTTTTCGTGTCCCTGCTTTGTTTTAAGGATCCCCAAAGTGCAATACCCCAAGGAACAATGCTGGCCATCCTGATCACCACCATTGCTTACATTGCCGTGGCCATTTGTGCAGGTGAGTACAGAACCTCTGCTCCAGGTCTTCATTTGTACAGTTCAGTTTGGAAGCTTGGTATGCAAATGAATGATTAACCTCACTGCTTTTTAATCCTGTGAGCTTATTATGTAGAGAGACAGTAGTTTTGATTTTACTGTATGTAAAAACAGTGAGGAGAAAAAAAAGCAGCAATCAGCAGAAACAAAAGTGTCTTTTTGGTAGCTGGACCTTCATATAACTTGTATGGTTACTTTTGCTGACAAAGACCACTAGCATATAGTATCCACGAGCATAGTAAAGATGAAAGGAACCTCTGATCAATCTGCTGATCTTTTGTTCCTTGTTCACACTGAAATTTCACATAGCTTCTGCTTGCTGTCACTAGTCTTACTGAGCACTCATGAGAATCACAGAAACAGGGTAACACATTTTGTATGTCATATGTCAAAGACACAAATCAGTTGCCTGTCTTATAGAAGATACACAATTCCATGTTCTGCAGTATTGGAATGTGAGGTGACAACAAAATGGACACAAATAAAAAGGAGACCTGTACTGAAGCCATGAACTGTGTTGGAGGATTATGCAGTTAAATCCTCATTATAAGCAGACAATAAATATCTGGTCAAGAAAAATATTTTTCTTTATGTATTTAATAGTACTGTAAGAAAGAGGGTTGTAAATGACACCCCTTCTTATAAGCAAATACCTCAATCCTGCATGAAAGCCCCGCAGAGTACTTCCTTTTCTGGGAGATGACTCTCAAGTCTTCTTGACTTTTGTTGTTCCTGTACTTTATGCAAAAGGCAGAATGCTTGACTCAAGCCTCAGCTCAGGTCATTGCATTATTTGGATCTAAATTTCCCCTGCAATTTAAGTCGAAGTAGTCATTCTTCACTTTCTATTATAAATTTCCTTTCTATTATAAGTCGTTGTTGTTTGTTTGAGAACATTGCACAAGCAATAGCTGTATTTCAAATTCAGAGCTGTGTATTTTTCAGGGCAGTACTTCCATTTATTTTTTTTTTCTGTTTGCATATTGGTTTCCTAAATAGATAATGGTTATTTTGGGATTCTCAATGTTTTTGACATATTTGAAGTTATCATAAAAACTTACATTTTGGCCACTAAGGATGTTGAGATCAGCACTCCAAGTTGCCTCCATGTGTTTTTTCTCATTTCTGGTGGCAAGCAAATAAAGACAACATGAATATCAATAAACACAAAAAGAATATAGGCAATTTCTCCTGTTTTTTTCATCATACTGGTATCAGTAGGGCTATGACAATTTGAATAGCTGAGGATCTGGGTCTCTAAAGCAATTGTGTGTCCTTGTTAAACAAAAAAATGAGTATGCCTTGACCTAAGACCCTCACCGACCTGTTTCCTTTGAATACTGGCACTTGTAAAAGTAGTGACAAGAAGACAATATACTTTCTGAGTTAGTTAATTTATTGTTGATTTCTGTCTTGTCTAATCCCATAAATATGCTAATCCTCACTAGTCAATTGGCTGATTATTCTAAAAGTAACAGAAGGAAATACTTGCCTACAGACACCATGATAATCTAAGTCATAGAACGGGGTAGTAATCTCTGCTCAACACAAAACCTTGCTCTTGGGATGAGTCAAAGGTAGCAGTTGGACAAAATGTGTGCAGATTAAGAGTCAAATGGCAAGAACATTCTTCCACTGTCACAAGGAATGAAAATAATAATATATGATTGTTTTCACAGCCTCCTGTGTTGTACGAGATGCTACTGGGAACATCAATGATACAATTGTACCTGGAATGAGCTGCAATGGATCATCTGCCTGTGGCCTAGGCTATGATTTTTCCAGATGTGCAAGTCAGCCATGTGATTACGGGCTGATGAATAATTTTCAGGTTCTAATGACATAATATGTATAATCATAAGCAATACAAGAATACATAAGTACAAACATTCAAACCCATTATTTACAGACAACTAACTGCAACAGGACAACACTTTTATCTAAAAAAAGGAAGGAATTATAGGAATAATGAAAGGCAAAAATCACCTGCATTCCACAATATCTTCATACTGCCCATCACTAGCCTTCCTAGCACTCTGGTAAAGTCTTTATCTCCTCTTTCAACAAGTACCATGCAGCAGTATATGCTGTAACATCTTCAAACTGAAAGCCTAAACTTAACAGAGACTTCAGGAACTGTTAGATGAGCAACTCACCTCACTGCTCTTGACACATGGATGTGATTTTACCTCAGGGGTGCTGTGGTCACTGTTAAAGGTTTGTGTCGCAGTACAAAAAACAGAGTTCTGACTTCTTTAAAAAAAGTATCCAAAAATAGTCGAGTGAAAAATCAAGTGAGAAGTAATGGGGTCTTTCTCCTAGGCCAGAGAGAGACTGTCTGCCATTTTTATTCTTCAAAATAAAGCATGGGCAAAGCATCAAAGTAAAGCAGTTCTGCAGCCTGACAACCAGGGCTCCCAGATCTCTGTTCAGCCCCTGTCCTTCATGGCCCGCAAGAGGAACTCACCACCCACCTGCACTTGCTTTTCAACTAGTCATTTGTAGCTTTTAAACTCACTTGCTTTTTTCCCAGCTGGCTCTGCTAAATGACAGGGCTGGGTAACCACCTTAAAAGGGATATGCTGTCCCTTTCACAGACTACTTTCCCTTCCTTTCTTGATCATTTACCATCCTCACTCCCACCTCAGTTCAGCTGCCCAGACCTGGGGCACCCCTTTACATCAATGACCTCCCTACAGCCATAAATGGAGTTGCATTTGTTGCATTTACCTTTGCCAGACTAAAGTCAGGAAACAATATATCTTCATCTGACAAATCTTCAGGATTAACTGGTTTCTTTCCTAGAGTCTTCCCACACACCAAAAAGCATCTGACAGCCACAGCCATCTATCTTTTAGTTTCCTTGTCTGGTGCTTCTCAACATCCCTTTTGCTTCAGTGGTCACAGGGGCCAGTCCAGCCCCCCAGGAGGGTTCAGGGAGGCCTAACAGGCACCACCATTGCTGTTTGCAGCACTGTGGTTATGCCAACATAACCAGGCACTTTCTCTCATTTTTAGCCATATTAAATAATCAAGGAAACCCCAAACCAAATCAAGTGCCTCCAACCACGTTTCATACTTTGGTGCTTTTTCCTGCTGTTTCCATTTTCCTCTCTTGCTACAAGCTGGCTATTTACTTGTCAAGTAGAGGCTGTTACTTGTAGCAATCAATTAGTAAAAGCAGTGAGAAAATCTCACAGAGTACTCATCTGCCCCGGCAGACAGCTACATAGTTGAATAAAAATTTGGCTATGCCCCCACTGCTTTTTATTAAAAGAGAAATAATAGTATTTCCTTACTTCAGAGTTGGTTTGTAGCAGATTGAATTTAGAACCATGAAAAGCAGGGACACATAGAAAACAGAGTACTGTCAACAAAATCTGCATCTAAATGTAAGCCTGACTATTCTTTTTACCTTTTTTTTTTTCATAAAGGTGATGACTGACTATTCTTTTTATCTTCTTTTTTTCATAAAGGTGATGAGCATGGTGTCTGGCTTTGGTCCTCTCATCACAGCTGGCATCTTTTCAGCTACTCTGTCATCAGCTCTAGCATCTCTTGTCAGCGCACCCAAAGTTTTCCAGGTAAAATTAAACTATCCATTTCATTATACTCAGTTTTACTTCAAAGACACAAAATTTAGTTGAAGTCTATGTGCCAAATGTAATATATATTTAAACAACACTGACACCTGTGGGAGGAAAAGGCAGGGAAAACAGTATGTACAGTGTTTTTCAATGGAAATAGGCAGATTTCATCCTCATACAAGGGTGACAATATTCCTTTGGTCAGAGCTCAGCTTTGTTGCAGGAGTGGGGATACACACGTGTCTGTTATAAATAGCTTGAAGGCTACAATAAGCTTTAACTATAAATATTTTGTGCAAAGCACCTGTCCAGCTTTCCAGAAGTCGTCTGGGCAGCAGCAATGTGGAAAGAGTGGGAGCAGAGGGCATGGGACAGAGAGATAACCTGTACAAATTACACCAAGCCACTGATTTGGTCTCCAATTTCCCCCAGTTTAGATTCCATTTAACTCTTTAATTAATCTTTTCTTTTAAAGCACTGAATAAGCATTAAATGCCTGTATTTCTGTTTCCCACTATATAATAACGTAGTAGCACATTGTCTTATCACCTTATTTAAATGTTCACATGCCACGGCATTGATGTACTTGAAGTACTAAGATATATCTAACTTATTTAGCAAAAGCCCAGCAAGCTGCCACTCACAGTGACTTCTGATGCAAGAAAGCACTGCTTAACAGAATTACATTCTGATTTCTTACCAGGCTCTTTGCAAGGACAATGTCTACAAAGGGCTCGAGTTCTTTGCCAAAGGATATGGAAAAAACAATGAGCCCATCAGGGGATATGTTCTCACTTTCGTGATCGCTATGGCATTCATTTTGATTGGTTTGTATAATGTAACACAACTGCTATAATACCATGTTCTGAAATTATACAAACTGATACCTTGATACAATTATTAGCTATGGTTAGAAAAATTTCCAGTCAGGTAAGCTCTGACACAAACTCAAGCACACTCAAAGTCCTGGTAGTAGTTCCATTACTCTTAATGAAGGCAAAAAAAACCCAACAGGGATTCTTGTGGCATCTCAACACCATCACAGCCTCATTTTCAAAGATGCCTTTTCAATTCCTGTTCACTCTGCTGGAAGAGAGCAGTGTTTAGAGCTATATCAAATAAGGCAAAGTCACAAGCTTTGAAAATGGTTTTCCAGTTTATACTGCACATAGCTCTGAGGCAGTCCTGAGACAATCAGGAAGCCTACTCTGCCCAAACCTTCCCCACAGTCAGGTCCAAAGCAAATCACAGTTTGCCAGCACTGGTGGTAGAAAATCCCACCTACCATATTTAGGGGTGTGAGAATCTTTAAATCAGTTTTTCCAAGATTAGAAATTCAAACTGTCTGACACTAAGTAAATAGGATGTCTAGTAGAGATAATTCAGATTTCCATTTAAAAAGCAAAACAATAAGCTTTAACTATAAATATTTTGTGCAAAGCATCTGTCCTTTCAATTATGTATTTAAAATTCTTAACTTTACACCAGATCTACATTGTTAAGAGACAGCCTGTAGAATCACAGTATCAAATATAACCTTGCATAGCACATAATGTTATTAAAATCAGCATTAGCACACATAATTCATATGAATGTACATATATCAAAGTGGCCTTCAATTAGTAAGACAGTAAAATACCCAAGCTCTCCCTGGATGACAAATTCAGAAAATGTTCAGATTTAATGCATCATTAGGAAAAAGCCAGCCAACAATCTAGGAACCTGGTGCCTATGTCTGACTTGCGTATATGTCTTGCAGCTGAACTGAATACCATTGCTCCCATCATTTCCAATTTCTTCCTGGCTTCCTACGCCCTGATTAATTTCTCCTGCTTTCATGCCTCATACGCAAAATCTCCAGGTGAGTCTGCATTCACCAGTGATTTAAATGTGGGCTTTCTGACCTCTGCAAGTTTTTTTACTGTACGTCAGAGGAAATTGCAGCACATGTAAAATACCTAGGCTGTGTGATCTGATGTTTTACTGCTCTTATTGAATATGAAGACATTTTATTTATCTCCGAAAGATAAAAATAATGGCTCTAGTCCTTACAATTTCTACAGTTGTACAGGATGAAAAATACTTCAGGGGATCCCACTGGAGCAAAAAAAGCTCCCCTTAAGAGTGTTTTTCCCTCACTATCACAAAACATGGGTGGATAAAAGTCTATGCCAACTCTAGCCACATAAAGCAAGGTATAGTGGGGAGTAATCATGTCCTTCTCCTCCAAATCTACAGTGAAGTGTATGGGGAGGTTCATACGAACAGTAATTGCAGTAGAAGTGATCCTGCCTGGAGGGGAACATGTAGAGCAAGAGCAGGTTCCCCAGACAGCACCAGCACAGCTCTGCAGTGCCTGGAAGCAGAACTGTAAGGTGAAATGCAATGAGATCCTGTTCAGGGGTAACTTGAGATGCTCTCTCTATATTTGTGCAGCAAAGGAACATAGTGGCTTTCAGGCTTATGCACTGCCACAGCAGAGTGATTCTCACATCTTCATGAATGAAGGGGTGACACCTTCAGGACTAAAGCCAATCAGCTGAGCAACACTGGTTTTGGCACACAGGAAAGACAATTTCCTGATGCTATGAATTAATTATTCAACTCAAGGAGCGAGGAATACATTTTTGATTTCCAGTGTGAAGAAACTGCAATAGCAACACAAATGCCTACATCAGCTTCCTTCCTATAGAGCTGCATGGTGCCATTTGTTCAGAGGGCAGAAAAGATGAGCACTTCTGCTAATTACCTGCACAGCTGAACAAATGCAGATATGCTCCACATGGCCTTGGAGCTGAGTAACAATTACCTCTATAGACTTCATCTGCCTGCATCTGACTCTACCACTACTTAACATTTCAGACAGAACTGCAGCCATTTTTCTTTTCTCATTTCCTCCAGTTAATTTCTGCCAATTCACAGTGATAGATTATAATAATTGCAAGGCTGTAGGACAGCAAATTTCTTCACAGCAGGTCCTTCCCATTCCCTCATTACAAAGATGATCCAAGACAGGGTTTCTCAGCCCCTTTTTGTATCTTCTGTGTTTTTTCCCTCTCCAAAGAGTGTGCTCTGTAGAACACCTGGCAGAGACCTGCAAACCATGAAGGCTCACTGCTTGCCTCATCATTTTAATTGGTAGCAGGGGATGGATTCAGTGCTGCAGCTGAAGAGCAGCAGGAATAATATCTTTTTAAAGTCAATTGCAAATGATTTTATTTTTCTGCAGTGAGGTCAGGAGATTTCCTATTTCAGACAGGTGCACTTACAGCATTGGGATAAACTCTCCTCTCAGCAAGTGTTCAGCTACCAATAATAAGTTCTGTGTATATGCATCAAAAGGACAGTCACCAATTACCTGGAGTTACAGGAAAATCTGTTTCTGATGTTCTGAAATGTTCTGAACCAGTAAACTTTAATTTGTGAAAAATACCTATAAACAGAATAGCTACTCAAAGCCACGCTGAGCAAAGCAGTAGGAAATAGCAGAAGGCTTTTAAGACCCCATATTCTGTGTGTGTTGAAACCTACAGCAGCCAACACTTAAAAGTATCTGTTGATGCGATGCCTGAGAATTTGCACATATCACTCCCACCCCTTCTGACAGAGCCTGAAACAAACTGCACATGGGTTTGTATGCACAAAACACATGAATTGCCATTTCATCCATATATTTTATGCTCTTCCAATTTTCTCAATTGTCTTTAAACAGGTTGGAGACCTGCATTCAGGTATTATAACATGTGGGTGTCACTTTTTGGAGCCCTGCTATGCTGTGGTGTGATGTTTGTCATCAACTGGTGGGCAGCTCTCATCACTTATGCCATTGAGCTCTTTCTATATATTTATGTAACATATAAGAAGCCAGGTAAGGCCAAATCCTGCTATTATTCTGTGTATTTGTTATACAGCCAGACTGGATTTTAAAGGAATTCATTCTGCTTACAGAATTAGCAATTACTTTTTCTCTGATATCTTTATTTAGAGGCAAGCCTGAAGCATCCCATTAAATTCCACTTTATATAATATAGATTAAGTTGATAATCTGGTGAATGTTTGCCTATTTAACAAGTACTTCAAGTATGGTTCAGGGCTTTCTGTAAACATTCCAGCAGACTGGTTTATTCCCATCCCATCTTTATGACATTTGGGCTTTTACTTGAGTATCACTCATAATTTTTTTCCACCCACACACAAACCCTCACCTGAATTTTGCAGTGCTCCCAGCTGACTCATCCGGGGTCATCACTCAAAATTTAAACCTGCTGCCCATTATACAACAACAAAAATGTAATCTGAATTACTCCTGAACTGATCATCCTCCAGCACCTCCTTACAATCCCTCCATAAATCAAAAGAAGATGGGCACACTTTACTGCTGGAAAAAAACTGCTTAGTAGCTCAGCAAATTACAGGAGGTGTCGTCAGAAATCTGTGTGCTAATACAGCCCCAGTATCAGACAAGAAAGTGTGGTTATTCATATCCAGGACAAAACTAACCCAGGTCCAGATTTCAGTGCTAACCACCTGAATTACTTCTGCAGTATAAAAAAAAATAACACAAATAAAAGGGACAAGTTTCCCAGAAGATGTGCCTTCACTGCAGCCAGCTGGGGACAGAAACACCTGGTCTGAGACTTATTCTTTTCTGTATATTGCTGCACTGTTGTGTGTCCTCCCTGCCTGGGTTTTCATACCCATTGGGATGGCCTGTGGTTCTTTCCTGTAAATATATCATCAGGTGTAGGAGAACACACCTGTCACAAGGCACTTGTCAAAAACATTTACTCGCATGGGGTTTTTTTGCATCACACAAGCAAAACCTATTATTGAGAAGCACAAAGAACAATAGGTCTGTATCTATGAGGTATGAGAGAATATATCCTGCTTTTTTCACAGAGCACCTGATTGCTGACTTTTGCAACAGAATGTAGGGAATAGCCCATGGTTTAATACACATTATTTATCTCTATTATATGCAGAAGTAAACTGGGGCTCCTCTACACAGGCTCTTTACTTTGTTAATGCCCTAGACAGCGCTCTGGCATTAACTACAGTGGAAGACCATGTGAAAAACTTCAGGTAAGATTTTCAGTGAACAGCAGAATGGCTTATCCTGGATATGTACATCAGCCAAACATATACAACCTCTTTTCTTCCTAACAGACCTCAGTGCATAACACTAACAGGAGCTCCTATGATCAGGCCTGCTCTGCTGGACATCACACACACCTTCACCAAGAACAACGGGCTGTGCATCTGCTGTGAAGTGTTCACGGTAAGGTCAGCTCAGACAGATCTGGAAACTCAGCCCCAGTGGGTGCTGCAGGTCTCCATTACACATTCCACTCTCACTCAGCACACACTGTTCCCGTTGGTGCTGGTCTGTGTCTGTGCAGACCATGACAGAGACTCGCACTGAGAAGGAATTTTGTCATAATTCTTGATACAAAAGCCATCAGCTGATACGGAGCCTGCTGGTAAATGCCTCATTGAGATGCATTTCAGAGTTCATAGCAGATGGACCAAAAAATGGTTTGAAAAAAATGGAATATTACAAGGAAAGATTTTAGGCTTAAAAGACAGAAAAACCCCAAATCACACAACACATAAAATTTGAAGGATTATTGTGCAAAAGTCAAATTACCCAGGCTCCATTTTCAGCTTTGTCACTAATTTGCAGAGTTAGGGTTTGGCAAGTAATTCAGCTCCCTTTGCAGTGGTTCCTCCAAAACTGTTAGAGTGCTAATTCTGAGGATAAACATGCTCTTCCGAGACCTAAAGAGAGGAGAAAAGTAAATGTCTAGTTATAAATACACAGCAAATGATGTATCTTGGAAGATGAAGATCTAGTCTCTCATTAGGACAGAATAAAAATAGATAGGTTTGTAATGTACAGAGAAAATGTATTTTAAATATTACAATGACCTTTTAATTTTGAAAACAAAAAAACCCCAGCTCATGGCACCAAATGGGGATGCAGAATCTTGATAACAGAGTCATTTCAGGAAGGAGAATGTATTCCTCTACAAGAGTGTAGGAATAATTCATTTGATGCTGCCACATTGCAGAAACGGAGTACAGAAGATCCACATGTGATTCTTCTCAAATCAAATGAATCTATAAAGAGTGACTGGTCCCAGTTCTTCCCTACTATAATTATTGTTAGCTTTCCCATCACATGCAGTAAGTGTAGAATCAATCCCAACAAGATCCTGAAACTATGCAGCTTCCTAAAGCTGAGTCTCAGCAGTGTTTCTGAATTATTAGACATGTTTCTCTATATCAGATTTCATTCCTCTCCATACAAAAAAACCCCTAAGTCTACTGTATTAGTGTAAGCATTGTAATTGGTTTGAGGGGAGGAGGTTTAAATTATTTCTTCGGAAACTTAAGTGAAATTTAATTTGCTTGGTAATAAAACTGTGACAAAATGAACCCTTCTGATTTGCAAAATTGTGGTAAAAAATGGACAATAAAATTGCTAGGAACCACATTGAAGAGCAGCCTACAATATATATCATAAAATACAGCAAGACTATTCAGCCATAAATGTAACACGCAGCATATTTTGCCTCAAAAGCTGACATGCTGTTAGCTATGCATGAAGTTTTGAGAAACCATGCCAGAGAGAGCATCTTCCACTCCTTCTTTCCAAAAAGCAGCAAGAAACTTTCCAGGAACACAGTCACAGATAGTTCAGAAATAGGCAAAATAAATATGGCAACTGAATATAAAGACAATTTAAAGTTTACTTGTGTCTGAGGTTGTGGCTGCATGTTGGCTTGAACAGTCTGAGTTTCTAATAAAAAGGGCTATCCTGCTTTTACTCCCTGCCTTCACATACAATATTTTTGTAAGGTTAGTCTTCAGTCTGCAGGTTCACTGGGCTCCTTGTACAATTGTACAAACATTACCACTGGTACAGAGGAGGAGCAGGGGAGGACACAGACAGGCTGTCCCCTGGCAGAAGGGTGGGACTGGACCCCTGGCCAGCAGAAACATTGTGCAAGCCAGCTGCAAAACCACCTTCAGGTTCTCTCCTTAAAGAGACAAGGAAGAAGGGTAAAACTTGTTTTTCTCCCCCCTTACCCACAAGGAAACTTAAATCTTATTGTTCAAGTTATTATTCCCAGCTCTTCAAGCAGCCAAGATCAAACTCTCCTTAAGTTACATCCATGTCTTGTGATTCTAACATGCACATGGATTTTTGTCCCATTAAATTACCAGATGACCAGCGAAACAAACTGGTGTCAAAGGCATTTGCATCTTTAATTGTATTGCACAACTCTTTTCTCTTACAGTTAGTAGATAGGAGCTTAAACAAGTATATTTAGATCTGCTAAGACTCTTTTACGTAGTCAAGTCAGGGAGGGACTTTATTCACTCTGAGATGCTTTATCATACCTTAGATTTTTTTTAAGATGTTACAATCCATAGTAGTTTTTCTTTCTGTCAGAATCACTATATTTAAGTAGCATTAACAGCCTCAGCCTCTCAAACAGAATGTGAATTATGTTAGCATCACACTTCTTTTCAAAGGGCTGAATCTCTGTGGACCCTTTTTGGAAATGTATTTTTCTGGCTCTCTCCGTTTGCTCCCACAGCAGACTCACAGGTAACTGCTTCGAAATCACTGTGTGATGTACAACACAAAACTTTAATAATATTTTATTGTATCATGCAGGGCCCACGCAAGCTGTGTGTTAAGGAGATGAACAGTGGCATGGAAAAAAAGCAGGCCTGGCTCACAAAGAACAAAAGAAAAGCCTTTTATGCAGCAGTGGCAGCTGACAGCTTCAGAGATGGAGTCAAAAGTCTTCTTCAAGTAAGCTTTTTGTTGACAAAACACACAGAAGACTGTTACATCAAAGCATCCCTTTATGTGAAGCATTACTGTTTACTTGTTAAGAAGCCCTGTGTATGTATGGATAATGTTATAGACAGAAGGGGCATTCTGGGGGCAGAATGCAGAAGGGGCATAATATAAATGTATATTATATTACAGATTATTTCATAAAGATCTCGTTCTGGGCTATGGCATTATGAGACAAGGCAGACTGATTCTCTCCTAAATGAACAAGACACTTATGAAAATAGAGGCATCTGCAGGGCAACATATGACTGTCTTTGCAGCTGACACTTGATATACTTCAAATCAATTCTATTGTTTGGTATTATGCAGCATATTAAATATATGAGAATGTTTCTGCATTAAATGAAAACTGAAAATGTGTAATATACATTTTCTGCAAACAGCAAGAAGGCCATTTAAATAAAAGTGCAATATTTTTCTATTACTCTAAGAATACAGCAGATCATTTCCAACAGTCCATTTAAAATGGCTTTAATGAAAGCACAGAGACACTGTTTCCATATTTCCCATCTCCCCCCCCTTCACATATATGAATATTTAAATATACAGGTACTGAGGCAAAATGTAGGGAAAATTCACATCCTTTGCACAAAATACACTGCTGAAAAGACATCAGTGCAAACTGAGACAGTAGGGAACCAACTAAAATACTCTGGGTAACCGTCACCCACTGGCAGCCTACCAGGGCTCTTTGTACACTGGCTGAATGGACAGTACAATTGAGCAAGATGAAATACTATTAATAAAGGTCCCTTTGTTCTATCAAAACCTCACAAAGACACTTCATCTTGGGTTTATACATTGTCTCAGTAGGAGATCCCTCTGATGTTTTTGAGAACTGTTACAGTCTGATGATCTCTTCCTTTCCATTACTACTATTGCCAAAGTCAACTACTGGACCACAAATAATTCCCTTCCAACAAACAGAAGGAAAACCTAAAGTCATGTGCAACAATTATTCATTTCAATGTAAACAGTGCAAACCTACCAAGATTCCAACATTTTTACCTGTTTTCTGCTTGCTAGTAGTAAAATTTGGCAAGTGTAACAACTTGACAGGCTGGTATTTTTTGTGTCTCCTCCTGAAGGTTCCCAATACACTGAGTATTTAGATTTCTAGAAAAATTAAGTCAGCTGAATCTAGATCTGACTAATCCTACTTGTCCAGGTTTTACCATCCAGAACCAGTTCTGGAGGCAATTTAATATCTTGACAAACCATTTTTTCTTCCTGTTTATAGATTATAATTTAACAGTAAACAGTAATGCTTCACATAAAAGGATACTCTGACATATCTATAAAGCATGCTCACCTGATTTTGGATAATCTTTTGAAAAGAATACAGGAAATGGAACAGCAACAGTTTCCAAATTCAAGGAAAAAAAATATTCTTAGGAGGCTATGCCTTCTCTGTGTCTCTGAGGTGTTTTAAGAGACTTCAGACTCAGTTCATCTACGGAGTATTCCAAGGCTGATAAAAGCTTTATGCTGTTATGTTAGAACGAGCATACAAACAGTTCTAAACTCTCTCTTGATTCCAAGTTATTGAACCATTTTAATGAGAGCATGTCAGAAGAAATGCAAATGAATGCTAATTTAGCAAAACTACATTTATGTCGTCTAAAATCATTTACAGTTGGAATGATTTAAAACTAATCTTTCTGATTTCTGCTTGGCTATGAGCATGAAGGGCATTTATGAAATGCAATCTAGTTGTAAGTGTCTCCAGAACATTACTTCAGTTATCTTTTGCCATTACTTTTCATTTACAGTTAAAAGCATGTGTGTGTGTGTACCTTTCTAAGCAGTGTTTTAATATTGTTAGGCCTCGGGCTTGGGTAGAATGAAACCAAATACCTTGGTGATTGGATTTAAGAAGGACTGGAGAAGTGCACCTGCCACACAAATTGAAAACTATGTGGGCATTATACAGTAAGTCAGCTCAGCACCTCCCTTTTCACTCCTCTTAGACTGGATTAACACAGCATTTCCATACAGAATTTGATGTGTAGAAACAATGTAAGTACCTACAAATCTAGGCTCACACATCCTACCTCTGTAACAGAAGTTACTGCCCATTAAAAAAGGCTCCTTGGCTTCCCACACCCAGTAGGATCTGCCTGTCAAACATCTGCACTGTTGGAGCTGATGTGGCTTGACAGCACTAAAGGAGCTGCTCTGCTGTCAGCAGAGCTTTTGCAGAGCTGTATTTTCCCATTTTTAGTGGGCAGGAGCTCAGAGAAAAACAACCATCATGTACGTACTTAGGGAATAAGAGAACATCATGGAATTCTTCTTTTAAGCCTAGGAGACAGAGGAAGAGCCTTGCTTCAAATCTCATGTGTGCCTAAGGCTCAGCAGCTCTGTGGGTTGGGATTTCACTGGGAAACAGTCATTTAGAAACAGGCTTCTCATAGATTTCTGCTCAAAACTCACCATAAGCGAGTTACAGAGCAACAAACCCCACCTCAGCTCTGTTATTTCCTCAGAGTAGGGAGAAAAAATTACCCAATTGCAACCTAGTTCCTAAAAAAGTGTTGTCTGAAAGATCCATTCCAGGAATAGCCTATCTGTTCCCATTTCCACTCATACCCTTCTTTTAAATAAGGGAAGAAAATTTATAGTACTTAGCTTAATCTTGGGCAATTCCTTCTGCAGTTTTACCTAGCCTGTCCTCCCTGTGAACAGTAACACTTCCACTGATCTTCTCAAAGTAGCTTTCCTCACTGACATGCACGATGCAAAAGCATATTTCTTTTTCTTTTTCTTTCTTTCCAGTGATGCCTTTGATTTTGAGCTTGGGGTGATTATTGTCAGAATTAGCCAAGGATTTGATATCTCTCAGGTCCTTCAGGTTCAAGGTAAGACTCCACAGCTGAATATCTGTGCTGGTTACATGCCCAGCACAAGAAGTACCCTTAAGAGTCACCACCTGCTTTCTTGGATAGTTCCTACACTCATGACTTCTACAGTTCCTCCTTGCTTCTGCAATTTAAATCCTGCCCAAAATTCTTGCTAATCACTGGCAGTGACAGAAGGAGTTCAAGCCTAACACATTAAGGGGCTCTGCACTCCAGAGAACTCAACTCCCAAAGCAGTTCCAGCACAGGCACGGACTAAAGCAGTAAAAAAGTCATGCTGTGCCACAGCAACCTGTCACTCTGCTGCACATTCCCCTCCTGGTCTTGACACCTCTTCCTCCTTCTGCTTACCTGAGATCGCTGGGACTGGCAGGAATCAGGAAGCTGCACTTTTGGTACCACCTCTGCAGAACTCTGGGGCCCAGAAAGTTCCCACTCGTGCAAAAATTTGGAACCCACAGGAAACACCAATTCTTCTTCACCCTTTTTGTTCATTCTTCCTTAGGTTAGCACTGCATATCTCAGGGGAAATGGAAAACCATACCATAACCTCACCTTGAGTCTTGTGTGCAGTTTTGGGCACCCCAACACAGAAAAAGACATTAAGCTATTAGAAAGCATCCAAAGGAGGGCCACAAGGATGGTGAAGGGTCTGGAGGGGAAGCTTTATGAGGAGTGGCTGGGGTCACTTAGTTCATTCAGCCTGGAGAAGAGACCTCATTGTGGTCTTCAACATACTCATAAGGGGAGAATTGGAGGGGCAGACACTGATGTCTTCCCTCTCGTGACCAATGATAGGACCCAAGGGAACAGCCTGAAGCTGAGTTGGGGAAGGTTTAGGCTGGATGTCAGGAATAGGTTTTTCACCCAGGGGGTGGCTGGGCACTGGAACAGGCTTCCCAGGGAAGTGGTCCCAGCACTAAGCCTGTCTGAGTTCAAGAAGTGTTTGGACAACATTCTCAGGCACATAGTGTGATCCTTAGGGTGTCCTGCACAGGGCCAGGAGTTTGACTCAATGATCCTCATGTGTCCCTTCCAACTCAGCATATTCTATGATTCTGTGAACCATTGGGGGATCCATCTGGGTGGAAAAGGTAGAGGGACACAGAGCAAGCAGACAGCTGCACCTAAACGAAGGGCTTCCAAAAGCCACATACACAATGGCAGCCTTCGTTTTGCTTTTTCCCCTTTAGCACACAGAGGTCTTATTTGTTCCTCAGGTATTCTGGGGAAGGGAACAGCCCCACATAAAATAACCCTCAGAACAATTCTCTCAAGGTGTTCAGTACGATAATTTCCCCCACATCTCGTCAGTCTACCCACTGGCTCAGACAGACCCGGGCTAACCCTGGCCGCCCCTCCCGGCCCCGGTACCCGGCGCAGCAGAGCACGGCTCTCTGCTGCCGCCCGCCGCCAGCGCCGCGCACCGCCCCGGCTAATTACAGCCCAAATTAACACCCCAGCAGAGCGCGGAGTCCAGCGTGAGGTAACGCTCAAAAGCAAATCACCTCCCCGAATTAAAAGGCGCCAGAGACTCCTTTAAAAAGCAAGGTGGATGAGGGCTTGTTTAGCTCGATGTGCACGGAGAGCCACGGGGATTTTGGAAAAAATTCTAAACTAATCAAGATTTCTTCGCCCCCTCATGACACCTGAGAGAGATCTGCCTGTCTCTTTGCTTGATGCAAGTCAGAAACTGACTGCTCAAAACGTACAGTCACTGGAACACCTGTGAAAATACAAATACCAGCTCTGCGTTCTTACAAAGTAACAAATGTTCTTCAAGTGGCCAGACAGAAGGAGTCAGGAATTAATTAGGACTGGGGCAGGAAGAAAAAGCCTCAAACACCAAGCAATGTTTTGAAGTAGATACAAAGTCTCTGCAGTGGAAAACAAAGATCATTGTATTCTATTATACTTTATACAGCATTCTGTTCAATGGAGAAACTGAAATTTTAGTTTTGAGTCACCATTAAGTTTGTGACTTCTCACCGGGTCTGAGAATCAGAAGCACGTGGCTGTCATGGATTACAAAGTAAAAGAAAGTATATTCTTTCTGTTGGCAACTCAGTGTCAGCAGAGCTAATGTCCACCTAGTGAGAGGTTATTTTTTTAACACAACGTCTTAAATGAACTTTACAGGAATTTTACTTAAGTGAACATTTAGTTCATCTATTACTCAAATAGAAGTTTTTCTTAAGAAAAAAGTTTTCTGCAGGCAAATGCCTGAACCACATTAATTAGTGCCTCATCATACTATATTCCACAATAACATGTGGTACCTTTTTCTCAGCATAAAGCTAATACTGGCAAGATGAAACTGTTCTCTTATATTACTAAATTTACTGGATTGGTTAGCTAAATCTTACATCTTTACAGCAAATGCTTAAAAATTAAAAATATTTCAGCATAGAAACTGATGGCATATTCAGGATCCTTACATATTTCTGAGAATCTCGAAGTCCAAACCATGTGACTTGTTCTTAGAAAAGGGACCCACAGGCTCGAACTCCATATCTGACCTTTCTCATTTTAGAAAAACAGCTTTTCTAATGTGTTTTCAAATTCTTGGCTAAAGAAACCAAGCAAATATCCACTAACATAACTCAATAAATAATATCTCATGTAACTATAAAATGTCATAATACTGAATTTGACCTGGAAGAGAAAACCTGAGAGCAGCTGAGTAGCACTGTAGCACACCCCACTGCTGTAGGCACCCTAAGTTAGGGCTTCCACAGGTGAATTCAGCTTCCTCCTCCCTATTAGTTTGCAAAAAAGAAGCATTTTAGCTTCCCCTCCCAGCAGCTTTACATTGTCTACAAAGTACCATAATAGCAATTACATCACCACCATTAGTTCCATAAGCGATTTAATTTAAAAAAGAAAGTGATGTGTTACCAGTTCACTTACTTTTTCCAATATACAGAGGAATTAGAGAAGCTGGAGCAGGAGAGATTGGCACTGGAAGCCACCATTAAAGAAAATGATTTTGAAGAAGGAAAAAGGGGCATCTGTGGATTCTTCAAAAAAGCCAGCACACTCAATATCTCAAAACATGAAACAAAAAAGGGTAAGTTCCAAAATGACAACTCCTCCCTGACCCTTCAATACATCCTGCTTTCACCAATATACAGACTGGACTTTACTCCAAGCCAAAAGCTCGTGAGCCACACAGAAGCCCCTGGAAAAGGACCTCCCCTGTACAAACCTGTCATGGTGGCTACAACCCTGTAATGCAGCACAGAGTGACATCCTCTGCTTGTAGGATACACTACCTCATAAAACACAACCAATTTCCTCCCCTCATTCAGCTTCTCAGCTCAGCTAATGTTCAGTTCTGTTTGTCAAAAATAGAATATGGTTGGTTGACAAATACAGAACAAGGTGGTTTGGGGATTTTTTGGTTGTTTGATTTTTTTTAATAGGCTGTTTTTAAATAGAGGCCTTTCTTCCTCCTCTTTAAAGAAAACAGGAACATATTCCCAATATTCAGGGAACAAGCAATCTTACTTTACTTAACAAACACACACACAAACTCAGTACACAGCTGAAAAACAGGTAAAAATAGCACAACTGCTCTATATTCTAGGCATAATTTCATAAAAATGCACAAGTGAAGGTGGTAAAAGTACTGGAAGTACATACACAGCATGCTGTCAAATAACTAATTAACACATAACTTAAATGTGTAGGTGATGAAATCAAAATTACATTTCAGATATAGTAAAATGATACAGAAATACAGCCAGAATTTAAGGTCTCATTTCACAACTGCTAGGCTGTAATGGTAATGACCCACCTGAAGCCATGCTTGTACACACCATGTATTTTCAGAATTTTCACCTGCAGAGACTATTACATCTGGCTGTGCATGCAACTCCCACAGGTATCAGGAAGATCTACAGGCTGAAAACATAAAATGTCATTATTCGTTAGTTGGCAGACTTCAGTTCATTTTGCAGGCTTCAGTGAAATATATTTTTATGACAATTCCAACAAGAGTGTGCACCTCTGTTTCAACTACCCTTTTTGATTTAGTTGAGAAAGGCATAAAGGAAATACATATTGCACACTCTGGCTCTCTATATGAGATAGATTATGATAATAAATATCCCTGCCTCTCTCTTTTGCTTTTATATTCATAGTCCCCGGAGTTGTTGCATCTTCCAGCAGAAATGCTAGAACTGCTTTAGAACTATCCTGTGCACACTCCAGAAATACAAGAAAACCAAACAAAGCATTTTCAGAACCTAGCAGATCAGAGTAAAACCTCTGAAGAAGCCTGTCTGCTCCATTTAAAATACCGCTCTGACACCGTCTCTTTGAAATCATTGAAAGAGGAGCAGTAATAAAGCCACAGGCTTCAAAAGATGGAATGAGAGAAGACATTGTTAGTGCATAATCAAAACTATAACTTTTGAAGCCAACCAAGCAAACAGAAAGGACCAGAATGTACTTTCAATTAACAAGGACCAGCCCAGCCCAGGGAAGCAGCCATATAGGTTTGTGTTTCCTGCCTTCCAGCCTCAGCTTCACCTGTGCTCCCGCTGCATCCTCGTTTCATCCACCATCGCTGTGCCTTCCAGGGAGCTCTGTGTTTTACAAGACAGCTGAGATTGTAAATGATGCAAAATAACACATTTACTTCTAAAATCTATCAGATATTTCCCACTTGCTTTTTAAAGCCCCAGAGAATTTTACATTACGTAAAAAGAGACAGAGAACAAATAATCAGATAACCCTTTTCAAGATGCTATAATCTAGTGACAATGTATCCCACAACCTTTGGTTTCTGTGAGTATTGGCACATTAAAACTCCATAGCATCCACTCCGTAATTTTTTTTCAGATTTAAAGTATAGAAATTATGTCAGAAACAGTTCATTTTCTTGAAGCTTTCTCTCTGTTTGGCTCCCTAAAGCTACTTGTATCCTCACTTGTCAGACATCCTTTCACATTTTTTCTTTCTCATTGCAGAGAGCACCATTAACACCATGCAGTCAATGCATGTGGGTGAATTCAATCAGAAGCTGCTAGAAGCCAGCACTCAATTTAAAAAGAAGCAAGGAAAAGGTACAATTGACATTTGGTGGCTGTTCGATGATGGAGGTAAGGAATTTGAGTAAGAACCATGGGGAGAGAGATTTCTGTGTTACCAAATATAAAAACAGGCTTGGGAATTCACATTAAACCGTTTTCTTTTAAGATCACATATTCAATTTTATGTCTGGATTAAATGTTTTAAAATTAACTTACATCCAATGCTGCTGAAGTGAAGGATGGAATTTTTACCACATAACGCACTAATCTGATCTTCCTGTAATTTTGTATGTTCTTCCAGGTCTAACAATCCTAATTCCTTACATTCTAACTATCAGGAAGAAGTGGAAAAATTGTAAATTAAGGATCTTCACTGGAGGAAAAGTCAACAGGATTGAAGAAGAAAAACTAGTGTAAATATAATTTTATCTCACTGTTCAGTGTTTGAATGATGCCGAATATAATGCACATACAGCAGGAAGCTGGGAATTTTCCAGCACAACTAGTTTGTTGTACTGTGGGCAGCAGGAAAAAAAAAAAAAAAGATGTACTTGACAGAAAGGTGTTGAGCTTATGGCATAGCCCTCAAGGCTCTGCAAATGGTCATTACCAAAGGAAACTCACATCCAGCACTTTTTCCCATTAATAGCTCATATTCCCTTCCCTAAGAAGAACAGTCTGCACTTCGTAATGAGAATATAATTACTTTTATGGGATTTACATGAGACTGTCCAGCTAACAGCAAGTGAAATTGCACATGAAACTCTCATATGCAATACCATAGATAGATAGCTCACATAAATGTGATTAACTGTGGCAAAGAGTAAAGAAGTGAAAGAGCAAGTTAATCAACTTTAAGATCAAGTTGATTTTACTCAGCTTTTTAAAAAAAGTCTAGATTTCATAATCATCATTTGCCTTCAAGCAGATGAAAGGTACTAATATTAACTTATTTTTATCATCACTGTATACAGCACCTTTCCTTACAAAGCACTTTACACACTTGAGGCACAACTATTTCACCACTGGTGGAAGCAGCTCAATTTGGGATGAAAATCAGCAACTGCTTAACAAAGAGCAGTTAAAAACAACATCAGTCAAGTTCAATTTCAGCCAATTCAGAAGTTAAATTTAGCTGCACTTCTACTAGCATGTAATTCCCCAAATATTAAAACTTCTCCACAGAAGTTGAGACTTTTCTCTTTTTCCTGTTCAAAACAAGGATTGCCCCAAGAGACATCAAAATTTATAGAAGCAGTATGTTCTTCTTATATATAAAAAAAAGAATGAGTAAACTCTCAGGTCATAAACAAATATGTACTTCTACCATGGTTTGCTCCTAGGAACTCTCTGACCTTTTCAAATTCCAAAGCTTATGTACCAAAAAAAAAAAAAAAAAAAGAAGGGGAAGGAGGTGTGGGGAAGAACCACGAGATCCCAACTGTGCTTCAAACAAAGGCAAAACTGACCTAAGCAAACCTCTCTAACCTCAGCACAAACACACACAAAGCTATAAACTATTCCTTCTGCCAACCAAGGCTGAAAAGTAAAGTATTTTCTTTTATGAAAATGTGCAAAAACAACATGTGAGTAGACCACTATAAATTCATAAATGAAAAAGACTCTTTAAGTATTGTACACGAACTTTCTGGACCACATTTTCACCAACACATACACTACCAGTGTTGTACACACTCCACGCACAGAATTCTGATAATAACAGAATAACAGAAGCCTTCTGTAAGAATTGGAGGATTCTGCCCTACTGCACTTTTGAATATTTTTCCTTTATAACTCAAGCCTTAGGATATACTTAAAGTACCATTTTTTCCCCAAAATGTAAACACCTTGCCCTCTGTCTGCTATTAATTTCCAGTTTTTGTGATTCTCATCGATCATCAGTTAAATGAATGATACTACAGCAATCACATTAATCCAGTTCTGTAATTGCAAATTGAAACACTAAAAGCATTTAAAGTAATTTGTCACGTAGTTAAAGATAAGATATCAAATGCAGTTGTCTAACTCATTTATGAGTGCTCTTGATACAAGGCACTCAGAAGTACAGTGATAAAACATTTCTCTTTTGTTTTCAGGATGGCTTCACTCCTAAGCAAATTCAGAATAAAATTCGCTGATATTAACATCATTTGTGATATCAATATAAAGCCCAACAAAGAGAGGTAAGAAACATTAACAAAATCCATTATTTAGCAGTTAGCCTTTATCTGGAGCTTGTTTTTTTTATGTTGAGCATTAAAAACAAAAAACCAAAACACACCACAGAGAACACTGTCACTTTATCACAATAATTTTCTAAGTACCAAGAGCGGGAAAAAGAAAAGAACCTTTTAACAATCACAATTCAAAGAGTCAAAACCATAGGCAGCCTTGTTCTTTATGTTGTAATTATAAGAATTTTAATAAAGACTAATTAGACAGCATACTTATGAGCCACTAAATTTAACAGGCATTTTATGATGCCTTTTCATATCTATTTAGCTTGCAGTAGACTTCAGTCATAGTTCTTCTGTAAACTTACCATCTATGTCAACTCAACCTTCTGGGTTTTATAATGAATTCATAACATTTTTCTGGCCAAACATAAGCATATTTCCTCTTTCCCATGAGGACAACATTATAATACTCCCCTATCACTCAAATATAATGAAGGTTCAATTTTTTTAAAAATTAACTTATCTTAGCTAAAGGTTAGGAAGTTGGTAAAACAGTGCTCAAGGAGCTCCACCTCCAACTGTATCAGCTAAAAAAAAAATAATCTTAAAGTCCTTTCTTTCTAAAACATATTTCCATAAAAATCATCTATGTAGACATCTGCTAATGTAGACAAAAGTCTACAGCAGGTTGCTCATGAAATAACTGAATCCTAAACTCAATTCACAGTATTTCTCTTGGTCTTAAAGACCCACTGAAAATGTGCTCACTTTGCTATGCTCTCTTCCATCCCCTCCCTTACTCCACCCAAAGCCCTTCCTCTGAATTCAAGTGCAATCCCAGGTTAGTTTCTCAGTCCTTCTGTGTCCTGCTTTTACACAAACACATAACTTTGCAAAAACAATATTAGATTCACCAGTGTTTCTATGGTTCATTGGAGATTTTCACTTAAGAAATGAAACTAAAGAATATGAAGATTTTATTACTAGATACCTAAAGTCACCTTTTATTGCCCTCTTGATCTCTGAAGTAATATTTTTTAATTATACAAAGAACTGTGCAGAATACTTCTTTTTTTCCTCCAGTACAATGCAGTGATTTTACATAAATAAAAGCTAGCAAAGGGAATTCATATCTGGCATTAACATAAAACACACACACACACACACACGTGCTGCATCAGCAGTACCTCAACAGAGTAAGTGAATATTGTGCCAGACACTTGCTAGACCACCATATCTCTCTTCCAGCTGGCATCCCACTTATTTCATCAATAATAAGAGGATTATCACTATTTTACATACTGAAACAGAGAGTAAGGATGTTGACAAACTCTGACAACTTAGCAACAGCCACACTAAACACTGCATGTCAGAGTCTTTAACCCACCTCATGACTTCCTGGCCATAAAGTCCAGCCTGTGCCCAGTCTCCCATTTCACTTCCTAGTGAGGTCTGTCAGCACAAAATGCTCAGAGAAAGACACTCACACTGACACAAGAGAAACTCCCTCAGGTCTCTGTGGGATTATAAAAAACTTTCAACAATGCAGCAAGCAAGGAAGTTTCTCCAGATGATGACAGTCAAAAGCTTAAAAAAAAAAAAAAAGAAATTCATAGAGAAGGTCTGTGGAGAAGTGGGGAAGCTGGGAAATGAACAAAAATCTGAGCCCCCACATAGCAAAAAACCTACAGCATTTCTTTCAGCTCCTCGCCATAGGAAATTTATATCACCTGTTTATCCATTTCATTAAAATGATCAGTAAAACTGCATCAGTCAGGTGATTGGTCTTGCTAGAGCTAAAACAGTAATAAAACCTTATATTTATTATGAGACCCATATTCATTGTTAATATTACTAACTAATAGTTAGTAATTAGTAACCAGTTTGGAGTTATTGTAGAAGTAATTTTTGTTAGAACTAGGAAAATGCAGAAAATTCTCTGCCAAATGCAGTGCTTAATTATCCTCAAATAACCTTTTAATTATCCTCAAATAACCCAAACACACTGAAGTGGCGCAGATATAACCTGGGGCACAATGTAACAAACAACAGTTAAAGATTTTGCAAGTTTTTCAGCTGCAATTATTATCAGTGAGGCCTGTCGAACACAGTGACTGTGAAATAAGTTAGTGAGTTCATATCCTACAGCAAGGCCTCCTTTGTAATTCCTGTTTCAGCTGGAAATTCTTTGAAGAGATGATTGAACCGTATCGTCTCCATGAAAGCTGCAAAGATATAACAACTGCTGAGAAATTAAAGCAAGAGACTCCATGGAAAATTACAGATGCAGAGCTGGAAGCATTCAAGGAGAAGGTAAAGCCTTGCCTACCTTTTTACATATGTACCTTTTCTTACACTCCAGATGTTTGAAGCGATTAGTAAGAAAATGTGAAATACCAGATATGGAATGAGAAACGTGACATGTACAAACCTGCATTTGATATTTACAAATTGGATTTATATTGTAAACACTGCAGAGGTGTGTTATGATTGCATTATTCTGCACTCTAAGACCTTGGCAGGTTTACACAGTATTTTCCAGGCTGATGAGAAGCTCTGCCCACATCAGAGCCAGCCAGATGAAAACCCACTGTGAACAAGAAGCCACATAGTGCTGCACTGAGCCTGAGCTAATCGGATCTGCTGAGAGCTTTATTAAATGGCTCCACTGTTTTAGAGCTTGAACCTCTTAAAGACTGCAGTTCCAAACATTCACCACTTTGGGAAATTCAGGACTGAATCCAGACACCACAACTAACTCTAGAAATTTCTCCGAAGGCAAGATTTAACATGGATTCTTTCCTCAATGGAAGCGTGCAGACTAAACCTGTTATAGTGCAGGAGCTCTCCTGCAGTTCAGAGGCACTTAAGGCTGATGTTGGCTGATCCACTGCGTAAATTAGAGTCCAGGCTGCTCTTTAATTTACTGGAAAATACCTTTTTAGCAAGGGACTGCCAGGCTTCATCAGGCCAGTACCAAAAGGATACTGCAAACTCTTTCACTCTTAAGAGTGTAACTCACAGAGAATTAATCCAGCAATTTTATTTATGGTTCCTATTGGATTAACCTGAGTGCACTGAGAGTTCAGTTATCTCCACTTTATGACGCTAGTAACTTCCTCAGCAGAGCAAGGATTGTGACTCTGAGCTCAGAGCTGCTAGAAGTCACAGCCTGACATATTAACATAATCAGAAATCAATGGTGATTTAAGATAACACACTACACTACCAACTGCAGCAGCTGAGAAGCAGCCTGGCTGCTCACTCTGTTACCCTTTTCCTGGAGCTGATAACCAGCATAAGGTTATGGGAGTCAGCTGTGGGCAGAAAACCTTAGAATTACTCTCAGCTTCAACCATCAAAAATTGATAGTCAGAGCCCTTAAAACATCTCAGTATAAAAGACAGTGGGAATATAATCACAAATATTCTACACACTTGTGTGCAGAACCAGGATACAAGAGAAAGAAAATAAATTATTAAGCTTGGTCACTAACTAAAGAACCAGAAAAACAAACCCTAGGTTGAAAAGTCAGCAACATGAAATGCCAAGCTGCTCTATAAAACAAGAACAGCAACAAAAATTTTAGCTTACACACCTGGAAAGATCTGCCCCTTATCTTCAAAAGTAAGGCAGTTCTGGAAATTTCACAGAGGACATTAGAACACATTTAAAATTCAACAGAGAAAAACCTGGCAGCAGAGATAAAGGGCGATATTATAGGATGACTCTCATGAGATAACAGCTGGCTAAATTATGAGGATTCTTAGCTATATAACATGTAAAAGAACAGTAAGAATTTCTGTAGAGGAAGAAATGTTAAGGTGTGAACAGAAAAAAACCCAGCTTTTTAGTTTCTCCAGGGAAAGAGAAAATAATTTACAAGACCAGTTAAGACACATCTATCTTACACAAACCTGCCCTGGTCTCTTGTTCCCTGTGGCTCGTGTTAAGTTATAAAAACTTTGAGGGCCTGAGCCTGGTCTGATAAAGGCTCAATATCAAAGTAAGAATCATTTAAGCACTGTGTCAGTACAAAAATAACCCCTATCCCCAGGAACCCTTACACAAGGGTGAACAACTCTGGCCCCAACATAACTACACTAATCAAGAAGCATGGCTTGGCCTCATGTTTTGCCATCTCTGAGTCTGGACCACAGAGCATACCACAGGTCCAATATTGCCAAAGCAACAGCAGAAAATCTTGCTGCACGGGGCAGTGTAGAAGTCCACGAGGCACCAGAACTGAGGATTCACTGACTTCACTGATCTTTTTCTTCTCCCCTGTTTTAATCAGAGTTACCGCCAGGTCCGTCTGAACGAACTCTTACAGGAGCATTCCAGAGCAGCCAACATCATTGTCCTGTGAGTGCCAAGATTTTGGTTCTAACTTTGAGAATAATAGTGTGTAAAGGGATTCTGGACTGGAGCAACAGAAACCCTTGAGTTATTTCAGTGAGCACAAAACCAATCTTTCGAGTACCTTCTGAAGGACTTGCATCTGGACTGATAATTCTCGGGGACTACACTGAATACGAATCCTTCCTGGTCGCTTAAAAGAAATCCCTACTCATGAAAAACCTGTCAAAAATGTAATCTTCACATCCAATCTGCATGTTGAGTGTTACATCTGCTTGCTTGCCTGCAGAAAATACACATTTTCCTTTCTTTTCTCCCAACTATTACAAACTCCAAGTTAGAAAAAGGATTCTTTTGGTTTGCATGTAAAAAATAGGGTTCTTAGCCAAGATCTACTTGAAACTTGAGTTAGGATGATGCAATTATATAAAGGAAAAGAGGCCACCAATAAAATTACCAAAAAAGCAAGCCATTTCCAGAATGAATTTTTAGTTAGAGCCACATTTTTATAAATTAGCTTGCATTTGTGATGTGCAGATAAACCTCTTCAGCTCTATTCAGTCTCCAAAAAGGGGGTGATCACATGTTACCATAAACTGACCCACACTTTAAAACTCCCATCTCACAGTAATTACAGATCAGAAAATAGGCTGATGGACTGCAAAACTGTTCATGCACTGCATTTTTTATCCTTTAAAAAAAAAAAAAAGATATTACGTGTGGGCTTTATGACACTGAAAATATTCTTTACCAGTTTAAGGTTACAATCACAAGCAGTTCATGTCCAGTACAACCAGGTGAGCGAGAGTTTGCAAATTAAGGTCTGATGGTAGTTTTGTGCTTGATGATATTTAAACAATTATGTGGTCTTATTATATCAGAGTTGTAAATGAACAGTTAAGTTTTCTACTTAATATTGAGTGAGAAGCATTTTACCTGAGCTACCCCTGCCTTCATAATGATAACTTTATTTTTCCCTCTGCCTAAACAGGAGCCTCCCTGTGGCAAGAAAAGGAGCAGTGTCTGATTACCTGTATTTGGCTTGGCTAGAAATTCTCTCCAAGAACCTTCCTCCAGTCCTAATGGTCAGAGGCAACCACAAAAATGTACTGACTTTCTATTCTTAGGAAAACATCAGTGCCTACAATATGCCTTGCTTGATTTCAACATCCACATTTCTAACGGCAGTGATGTATTAAAGACACATTTACCTAATACAAATCTAAGAGGTAAATAATTGACAGAAGATTTTTCAAAAATCCAAAACCACACAGCAAAGAATTAGACAAAAAATGTAAATGGCCCCTGCTGGTTTTACACTCCAGTACAGGCAAAAGAAAGAAAATCTACCTATATATTATATGAGTTGGCAAATATTTGAATACACAAAGAAGAAATTCCTCTGATTTTATAGAGTTTTGAAAATTATTTTATATTAATCCTAGAAAGCCAAAATTAACTGCTACAATACAAAATGCATTAAATCTATAAATAAATACTTCTTTCGAATTGCACTATCATAGTTGCTAATAGGCACAAAATAGGATTAAAATGAAATGCACCAATTTGTGAGAGAGAATAAAACCTGTATGGCATCCATCAGGTCAAAGCCATAAACTGACAGAATGCAAGTAGAATACTTGCAATGCTGTTTGATTGTAATATTGCCAAATTAAGACCTATTTCTACAGCAGATGCTTTTACTTAAATTGTTCTGCTAATTTATATTAACTGTAACACTTCTAATTAACTGACAAACAAAAACCTCGCCTTTATCAAAATATGGACTCTACGTGACAAGACTTGATATTGAATTTTCAAGCTCTGACATGGAATACAATGTATGATTGCAATAATCAAATGTGGTAGGCAAATTTCACAAAGAAATTAGTAAAATAATAAATATTCTAACAATATTTGCTAGGAATGTTAATACAATCTGACATTATACTTTGGGATAACGTACAGTGATTTATGTGATTAGAAAATAACAAAAACCCATTAACTGAGTTGAATGCCTTATTTTTTGATTTATATAAAAGATTTATCTTATTTTTTGACTTTCTAAATAATATTCATTAGGCACTAACTTAAAATAAAGGAAATCCATTAAGTTGTGTAATTTTTCTATTTTCTATTCTGCAACATTATGGTACTTTATAATTTCAGCTGCCAAGAAAAGCAGATTCTCTTTTTAATGGGGAAACCTATATTCTCTATGTAAGCATTATTTAAATTAAAGACCACCAAGGAACATGGTTAATTTATTTTCTGTAGTTCTGCAACTCCTTGACAGAGATTAACTGACATCTAAACCTCATGAAAGCCAGGGAACCCTGAATTTCACTAAATGTATATTTTAAAGCAGCCTCAGCTTCCATCTTGCTTGAATTATTAGAATTTAACTTGGGGGAAGATCTAGCACTGCATCTCCAAAAATGACAAATAT